TTTTTCTAGTTTTTAAAACTAGAAAAATTGGGCATTATTATAAAGCAATAAAATAAAAAAGTGATTTTTTGTGAAAATCCTCTTTTTTAAGGTAGTCGGATACCTTAAATAATAAAATCATGTCAGCCTAGTTAATAGAAATAAATGAAATCAGAAATAATTTCAAAAGAATTTCATTAATGTTTAAAAACATAAAATATAACATAAACTTATAATTTTTACACTATGAGTTTGCAACCTCAAACAAAAACCAGCACAGTACAACTATTTCAATGAATAAAAAAATAATTGAATTTATCTATATATTCTTCACCATCAGTATAACGCATACATAACTCATTTACTCACCTCTTAAGAAAGTAGCAGCAGTTCCTTTGTAAATACTCCTAATACCTCCCTCTTTATAAAGCTTTTTGATACAATCCACAGGTCCATTGTACCTAACTCCCGAAGTTGAAGTGGAAGCTTGCTGAACCTGGAAAAAAAAGTTTGTTTTTGTTTCAATGTAAACATTTTATTACGTGAAAAGTAAAAGAAAAAGACATATTAAATAAAATAAAAAATATTATAAATACATAAAAAATAACCTAGACAGTCCTGAAAAAAAATTTTTGTAATGATATGTAATCACAGAAAATTAAGGAAAAAAAAACATCAAATTCATGCAAGTATTTCATTAAAATTTAGATTCTGGGAGGATATTTGTACACTCTAACAATGATTGACTAATATTTCCTAATTTAAAATATGCAGAGAAAGTAAAGTTCTGTTTGTGGGGTTAATAGTATAAAAAACATAAATAACATTTATACTATATATAAATTTAAATAAATTATGAAGCTTCTTTACAGTAAAAGAAAGTTTAGCGGGTGAAGACACTTTAAAAAAACTAATGCTGATAAAAAAAATTTAAATCAGCATCAATTGTTTAGATTAAATATTAAACTGATGGTAAATATTTGAATAAAAACTTTAAAATAAATTTTTACTTCACAAATACTCAATTTTACACTGCTTGGTTAAAATTAAATATCCTATTTTTATCCTAATATAATTATAAGTATATTGGATTGTACATTAACATAAAAGAACAAGATAGTGTACAAGAATTGTTGGATCACACTGTACCAAACTAAAAAGACAATACTTTCTCAAGTTAATGACAATGCTATGAAAAAAAAAAGCCTCAAAAAATCAGTAGTGTGTCTTAGGGATGCTGAAGAAAAGGAACTATTTATAAAGATAATTTAAAGTGATAAACTGGATTCACCTACTTGAATTTAAGCAATAAGTAGAGCAAGCCGAGAAATGCGAGGTAAAAAATATCAGGACAATTTTTGGTTAATATTTATAATATACACTACGAAAAAAAAATTCTAAAACATTCATTCACATTACTAATTCTTAGTAATGTGAATTTAAGCAATAAGTAGAGCAAGCCAAGAAATGCTAGGGAAAAAAATCAGGACAACTTTTGGTTAATATTTATAAAATACACTACGAAAAAAAAATTCTAAAACATTCATTCACATTACTAATTCTTAGTAATGTGAATTTAAGCAATAAGTAGAGCAAGCCAAGAAATGCTAGGGAAAAAAATCAGCACAATTTTTGGTAAATATTTATAATATACACTACGAAAAAAAATTCTAAAACAATTTCACATTGTAAAAATTTAAATAAAAAAGCTAGTAAATTAAACAACTGCACTTTATAAAAATGAGTCATGTCATAAAATTTTAAATATTACACAAAAGAAAAATATTCATTTACAAGCATTAAAATAAAATTACAAGTAATAAAAGAAAACTTTAAAACAAAATTTTCATAATGAACCAGTGAGATATTACATGATAAATTCATCAATTAAAAAAGAAAAGATAAAATAAAATTGTCTTTAATAACAAACACATACATAAAAACATTTTAAAATTAAACACATACTTAATATTATCATCTGTACTTTTTAAATTCAATCTTAATTAATTAAACACAACTATATTGTTATGTTAGATATTTAGATATTTAGATAGTTAGATATTTAAATGTTAGATATTTAGACATATACATAAACACTTAAAATAAATAAATAAAACTTATATAGTTAGTGCCATGTTGACATGTACAAATAATTTATAAATAAATAAATACTGTCTTATTTTTAGAATACAACTGAGAATATAATAAGTGATACCAATAACTAAATCAGTTATGATATGATTACATTAAATTGAATGATAGAAATTGGTATTCATAAATAGCAAAAATCAAAGATAAAATTAACAGAATACAGAGTTTAGAAGTCAAAACTAACTGCAAAAAAATTTTAAAAATCAGTCATTTGAACTTTACTTTTCTTTTTTACATCTTTAATCAGAAGAGAAGCCGCCAAACAAGCAGGACATTCAATCATCAGTCTAGCCTGAAATTTTTGGCATTTGGTCCGCCAAAAATTGCTTTCATTCTATTTTAAACTAGTAAATATTACAAAGAATACTTAGAAAATTCAAAATAAAAAATAATATTTTTAAAAACCACGTTTTTGTAGTGGAGAATAATAATTAAAAAAAATAGAAAAACGAAGAACGTGGGGCGCATGAAATACATAACAGTAATGTGTGTGTATGCGTGCTCATGAGAATATGTGTATGTATATCTGTAATTGTAATTGTATCTGAATGTGGATGTGGAATATGTTTGTGTATATGCATATGTATGTGGCTGTGCATGTGTATGAGTAAGAAAATGTGTATATGTATGTGTATATGTACTGTTATGTATTTCATGCGCCCCACGTTTTTCGTTTTTCAATTTTTTTTTAATTATTATTCTCCACTACAAAAACGTGGTTTTTAAAAATATTATTTTTTATTTTGAATTTTTTTATTTTAAATTATAATTTTTTTAATTTTTATTTTATATTTTTTAAAAATTATTACTTTTCAATTATTATTCTTCACTACAAAAAACGTGGTTTTTAAAAATATATATTTTTATTTAGATTATTTTTCTTAGTCAAGAGTAGTCAAGACTACTACAAGACCACTACTAAAATAATAGAACTTTCATTTTAAATTAGGGATACAAAAATCTTAATAGAAAAACAATACCTTTACGACTTTCATTAGTTCTATGCTGATGACAACCAAAACAATCTGGAAATGAATGTGAAAAAACTGGATCCTACCACGTGATTTTTCAGCCAATAAAAATACTCCAACAATAAAAATCATTTCACCTGACATGTAATACTAATTTGAAATAATGGAATCGACAACAAAAGACAATCTCAAAAAAAATATATATATATTTTAATTTTATATTTATTTTACTTTGTATATACTTTTTTTTTCATTTTCATGCATTGTCATCCAATTCTGAACTATGTGCCAAATTTGAAGTTTGTAGCTAGTCGGGAAGTTAGTTTAAAATCGATTACAAAATTCCACCTGGACAGACATACACGAAGGCAAGTTTATATAAACGTGGTAAAAAACGTAACTGATTAGCTGGCTAATGAAAAAAATGGGCCAAAATACTAGGGGATGAGATAAAAAAATTTTAACCTGAAAAATGCATAAAATAGTCTAAAAAAAATTTTTAAAAAAGTTTTTCTAAAATTTCTTTAGCTGAGTAGAGATTACTCATTTTCCCCAAATAACACCTTTGTTGTCACCTACTCAATGCCACACTAATTGTCCCTTAAAATTTGGGGGGATAGTCGGTGAGGCAAAAACGTTTAGGGAACCAAAAATAAACGATACAAATGTTATTACCAAAGATCACTAAGATGCAACAACTGATTCTTTGCTGAACTGATGGACTACTAATTTAAAATCACTTAGTACATAGGTGTCTTAGCATATTATATATGTTGTGACCAGTAACTTGATACTTATAAATGATAACTTTTCTATCTGCTTGCATAGCAATAGTGACATATATTCACCTACTTCTTGTTATTTTTTTTATTTTATTTATACGGATCACTACGATCTGAGGAACAAATATACTACTGTAAACATGATATTCTTTGTTATTATACATAAAAATTCAATAATTATAAAATTTCAAGATAAATTTCAACTGCTACAAACCTGCAAAAGGCATTTGATACGTTCCCCTGGTGTCATAATGGCAGTTGTAAATACCCCAGAGAGCATACCAGCATTAAAAAGCTGCAGTAACCTAATTATAAAATACACAATTTTTAAAAACACTTAAGCACAATTTAAACAAAGTTATACTTAATTCAGATCATATTATATATTATTTTCATTGTTTGAAAGGCAATTTTTATTCACAGTAAATAACAACTTCATTTTTAGGAAACATCTGATTGTAAACACAGCAGTACATTTTAAAAGTATTGCAAATGTGCAATTACAAATATACATATTAAAAAAATTTACAAAAAATTATCATCCTGAGATTTTTAAAAAATTTTACCAATTAAGAAACATAATAATGATTTGATCCTGATTAGGTTGGAATCAAACTTTATTTATTGATATAGTTTTCCCCACTTTAATAATTAATTATTAAGTAATCTTGAGATTATAAAACCTGTATTTACTCAAAGAAAGTAAATTTCGTTAGAGGCATTAGAAAACAGAGTACATAAACCAGAAGGCTATTTAAAAAATACCTTGTTCTATTCTGTTCAAAAAGTTTATTTAAGTAAAATAATTTTGAACAAAAAAGGAACATTCTAGAACAAATTAGTATTCAATACTAAAGTCCTTTAATTTTTATAGCACACAATTTTCATTACATCATTTATAGTGCATATTTCTTAATATAGAAAATAACAAATATTAAAACAGATTTAAGCCAACAAATTCTTTAACAAAAAATTAATAAAAAAATTTTTTATTAAAGTGTAAGTGTTGAAATTTTTTATATAACATTAGGACAATTACCTTAAATGTTAATCAAAAATTATTTAAACTTAAAATAAGAAGGATAACAAGGTATAATTTTAAGATGAAAAAATTAATAACAATAACTATTCTTTAAAGGAGAAAGCAACCAAACAACTTATAATTGTAAGCTTCTAAAATATTTCAAAAGAAAAACCCATAATAAAATTAAAATTGACACAATTAAGTACATAATACTTTTTAATCAAACATAATGTATAATTATATATTTGACAGTGAAAGCCTTATTCAAATACAGAACTCCATCTTTCCTCCTTTTTAGACACTGAGCTTCAAATTCTAATGAGTACATTGGTTTTTCTATTTTGTCTGATTTGTGGCAAACACTGTTTGGTAACATAAATAAATTACAATAAGTTAGAAATGTCTTGAATGTACATGAAAAGTGAGGTGGTATAAATAAATGCAAATTGGAATCTCTTTAATGGAATCTTTTTAACTTTTTACTATTATATAAAAAGTCATTGCTTTACCAATTTTATTTTGCCATCATGCTTTTTTTAAATAACTTTGTAATAACTTTTTTTTTTCTTCAAATAATAGAAAATGATACTTGGATGATAAACTAATTTTTAACATAATATCGATTAAGGACAAAGAACATTAAAAAAAATATGTATTTGTTCTTGTCAGTTAATAAATACTTTGTATTTTTATTAAAAACATATATTTCCTATTCTGTTAATTAAGACAAATTTTAAACTAGCATTCGAATCCTTAAGTAAAATTCACAAACTTGCACATAGATATTTTTAAGTAGATTTACAAAAATAACAAACTGAAAAAATTGCTCTAAATCAAATACAAACACTAAAAATCTTCTAAATTATTAAAATGTTAATGTAATTCTAAGTTTTCAGTAATTTTATAGTTTAAGTAATTTTCTCCCATAACTTCAAACAAAAGATAAATTAAACTAATAATCTTGCATATAAAATATATTTTATGCTCTAAAGAAAAGAAATTTGTTATTATGAAATAAAAAAATGATTAAAAAAAATTGCAAGAAAATTTTTGTACAAAAAATATATGCATAAAAAAATCATAAAATCTACGATTAAAAAATTTTAAAAGAAAACACAGAACATGATTAAAATTTAATAAATATACGTTAATTGTTCTTCTGGATGCTTTTGTTGGAGTCTTTTTCCTACACCAAAGCCAAAAAAGCAAACAGCAAACATTGGAGTAACTCCAGTTATTGGAGCTGCCATTCCTTTGTAAAGTCCAAGAATACCCTATTCACAATAAAAAAAAAAACATTTATATGAGATAACAATAAAATAGATTAGTAGTAAAGAATCAACTAATAAATTTTAAAAATTTTTACTACATTAGCTTACAGTAAATCAAAACAGTAAAAAAAAAAAATTTACAAAGATTTACCTGCCAAGCAAAAGCAAGGTAATTATTTGTAAAAATTTTCTGAGATAAATATTAAAAAAATAATACCTCTTTCACAATAGTCTTCTTAGCACAATCAAATGTACCAGAATACATTGGAAGTTGACCAGCAGTGGGTTTTGGCATTGTTTGCAAACGAACCTGAAGTCAAAAATTAAAGAAGAAAATTGTAAATAATGAGAATTATTAATATAAGAAAAAAGACGAGTATGTAGAAGATTAATAAATTGAGATTTGTAACACATCGGTTTTAAAAAAAAGGTAATTATCTACACTATGTTTTCTCAATAGTATACAGGATGTCCCAAAATTATTTGGAAAAATTTTAAGGGGAGGTAGGGGACATCACATAGATTCAGATTTACATAGCAGCCAATGGTTAGAAACATCTTCGTCCACCACTAGGTGGCGGTGTTCTCCAAATGGATTTGGCATGGTGAACAATTTGTAACCATGCTGTCCTGGTTTAGGCAGCATGGAGTTTTTTCTTTGGGATGCATTTCTTTGGGAAGGGCTGTGTACGTATCACCTGTGGATTCGGAAATGGATCTGGTTGAGTCTATTAATCCATGGCACAATGGTGTAACACACGGATTGCTAGCAATATTGGAAACTTTTAACATCTTTGTGACATTTCAACATATCATCTACCACAGCACATGTAATATTTTTGACTAATAAATATTTCAGATGAGCTCAGGTTTATGTCTCTTTGTTTCCTGTGTCTGTCAGACTGAATTCCTATCATGTTTTTGACCATGGGTTGCTATGTTATTCTGTGTCCCCTAACTCCCTTAAAATTTGTCCCAATAATCTTGGGATACCCTGTATATTCATACAGATACTCAATAGTAATATATTGATACATAAATTTATAATATATTTAGTATTAATTGTGATGAAAATTAGAAAAAAAGAGCAATTGTCAGAAGAAAAAAATTCTGACATAACTGTAAGCTACAAATAATAGCAAAAACTGCATTAATATACACAGGGTATCTTTTTGTTCCATAATGATGACATTTCTAATTTTTTGAATTACATTTTTCTTTCCTCATAAAATTTTATAAGACCATTCAGGAAAGAGAATTATTTAAAATTTAAAAAATTAATAAATAAATGTCTCTATTTTGAGCGAACTTTAACCTTTAATTGGTGAAAACTTCTACCAAATCATCTCTTACTCTCCCCTTAAAGGAAATATACCTTACGACTGACCGATGGGAAGATTCTTGGTTTTAAATGTTAAAAACAGAATATTAAATTTAAAAAAAAAAAAACAGTGAAACTGTTTACTTAAATTTAATATTCTGTTTACTGTTAAATAAAATACTGTTAAATGAGAGAGGAATAATTTACAGGTAAATAATTGCAATTAATTTATTTTGAATTTTAAAGCGATTCGAATTCTTGATTGTCATTTTGCAAGATTCAAATAATTCGGACATGGTTAATTCTAATATATGTATATACATATATATAGGGCAGGAGAGAGCCCCTTCCCCCACTCGTGAGCGGTTACTGGCACTGAGCACATTTAGTTTCCTCGAGACATTTACATTATTTAATTGGTGTAATTTTTGCATTGCATCAAAATTATGCTTCATAAGTATGTTTTTCATGTATGCAGTATTCAAAGTTCCGTATTTTTTTTTAAAAAATTCTGTATTGGACATAGCCAAAAGCCTGATGTTATGATTTTTGATTCCACCACACAACAACTATTAACATTTAATTTCTATATGGTCACCTCAGATGCCAATATTTGAAAGGAAAAAAATTAAAATTGACATCTGCAATATTTCTCAAAATTTAACACTAGAAAAAATTTCTTCTATCTGCTAGTGCTAAATAAGTACAAAATTATCATTGTTTGATATTTTTTAACTTGTCTTTAACTTAGCTCAATTTAAATTGGTGCTTCGTGAAACTATATCTGAAATTTTGGGTAAGGGACTTCAAATTATTGGAGGGAACACAAAACCGCTGTTCTTGTCGCCATTGAAACCCATGAATGATAATAAATAAGTCAACGGATAGACTATATTTGAGGGTGCCCCTTGATTTTCGCCAAGCTGGGTGATGTTGAAACCCAAACGCGATTCTGATTGGTTTAGATTTTAGCGTTATTTTTAAATGTTTAACGGCATATGTAATTTCAGAGGTCCGTTAGTTCTACGATGGTTACCGGCTGGTAAGGTTACTTTTGCTTCTGGTCAATAAGATCGAAGGTATGTGGGCAGACATAAAAAGGGACTTTAGAAAAAAAATGTCATCACCAGTCCGGTACCACAGACGTTATTTCCGATTCGTATTTTGCCAAATTTATGTGGTGATGGTGGTACACAGATTCTATTCATGATAAATTTAGACAGTATCTAACTGCTATTAGAGAATTCTGTGCACCTAAATCTGAGGATATTCAAGCTTAATGAAGAATTTTTTTTCCTTTTCTTTCTGTGCTTACTCCATTAATTTTTGTTTCGATTCAAAATGTATTTATTGGGTTTATTAATTTTACTTACATTGGGTTCATTGCAATTTTATAATGTTTTGTTGTAATTTTCCATTGTTTTATTGAAATAACATTATGTTTTAGCCGTCATTCCTGTTACCACGGTGTTCCGCGCAAACAGGAATGGCACTAAACATAAGTCGCCAATTTTGCCAAGGGGCACCCTCAAGTATATTTTTACCAAGTCAACTTTTCTGGGTTGAAGTACTTCGACTTTTATAGGACTTATATAATTTTTTTTTACATCGACTTTTGTATAAAGTTAACAAAAAACTACTATGAACTAATATGTCGTGAAGTTTTTAGTATCGATTATGTATTTAACTATGTATTTGAGTAAGTATTCAAAACTATGTGTTGAAACAGGCCAAGGATGGTTCTTGTTTATTTTGCCCTTTAGCCTAATAAACAACTACTGTTAATGAATTTGTTCATCGATTTCTCTTTCCAGCTTCTGAAAACCAACTATTTATTTTAAAAAACTTAATAAATAATAATTTTTTCCTGGGTATGACGTAATTTTTCTTATCAAGATAAAGACATCTAACTTTAAATAAATTGCGTACAACTCAGAGATAAAACCTAGAGTAAACAATGACAAATTAATTGATAAAAAAGTGCGAATTTAAATACTTTTATGGTATCTAGAGGATGCCCAGCTGCAACACAGCAAACACCACCAACTCCTCCTGCCAAGAAATTCTTTATTGGACTTGTTCTTTGCTTTTCAGACATTTTTAATAAATTTGTTAATTAGACAAAATGTTAGCAATAACAACGCGTCTAAAGAATATAATGGTCTTTAAAATTCCAAACAAATTTTAAAGAGTTTTATTAGACTATTAGTCGATGTATCTTGCACAATCCAAATAGAATGAGGAAGTCTTCCGCAGATCTCTGTTTATTTAGATTTATTACCTATTCAACACTTCCAGCTGCTTATTTTTATCATTTTTTAACTTCCACTTTTTAAATTTAAAAAGTTTACATAACACTTACAGCTTACACTAAATGCTCATTCACACTAAGAAGCAACTAACTAGCATTATTTATCGCTATTGGCAAAGGGACACTCTTCACCGATTTGGCGCGGGTTACATTGCGCATTTCACGCGGCTACGGCGGTCTCTTCAATGTTTGATCTGAGAGAACTGAAACGAAGTACTTTGCATAGTGTGTGATTTCGCCAATCACTTGGTATCGGAATCGGATTAAAAATTTGCTTTTTGTTTTTCCCGGCTGTGATAAGATGTTAAGGAATAAAATAACTTGGTTATTGCGATTTCAGTCGCGCATATCTTGTAATGTCTAATTCATAAATATAATATATAGCGTAATTTTTCTCTCACTCATAGTTGTTTCATAATAGTGAATAGTTTTGTGTACATTTGTATTTCAAGTATATTTCTTCAGTAAGATACGCCTCTGTATATTTTCTCTATTTGTATTATGTACAATATATGTTTTTTAATAGTGTAAACAACTGTTCATTTAATAACTAATTTTAAATCAGTCTTGTGTGTGTCTCTGTATTTTTTTTCTACCAATGCTGAAGTTTGACTAAAGGTTATATTAATTTAAATTGCGTGAAATCGTTAGCTATGTGATTATAAACACTTTGCTCATATATTTTTATCTTCTATTAGTGATTAAATGTTTAGAGTAAAAATTTGAGATTTGTACCCCTCTTATTTAAGCGATTTTTATGTTCTTACAAATATCAGGAAAAATATTTAAATTTGAGATTTTCTATAATAATAAGAAATGAAGATAGACTTAATAAGGAAATGTAGTTAATGGGGAGCTTTGATCTGTGACATAATATTCTCCAAGTCTTGGCAACTTCCGGGCTGCGGTCCGTTAGAAACTAAAAAAACCTTCACAGAAAGGAAAAGTTGTAAACATATAACTTGTAGTCACTCCCTAGCAAACATGTATGTTTTTTTTTTTAAAAATTGTTGGTTTAAAATCTATTTGGCAGGACAGATCATGATACAGAAATATCCCCTAAGAATTTAACAGTTAAAGCTGCAAAGTACTTAAATATTATTTTATTATAAAATTCTTTTAAAGGTTGGCTAGGTTGAACCATAATTTTACACAATTTATTCATCTTTCATTCAAATTAAATGAAAAAAATTATATAGTAGGCAATATAAAGCAACTTTTTTAAGGCAGTTACATTGTTTAAAGAACAATTAATTTGAACTAAAGGTTTCAAATAAACTATCATTCTTTAGTCTATTTTACTTTTTATTTAGAAAACGCTTAATCTTCGCGAGTTTCAATTATTATGGTTAGGTAGAACTAGATCAGTAACTTAACTGTTTGAGTTACTGTTTAGCCTTAATCGTTTTGAGTAAGGGTTGTATTGCTTAAAGGAATTAAAAATAAATTTTTCATGATATAGCAACAGATCATTTGGGATTAATATTAAACATAGTATTTCGAACACTACAGTAAATATTCATTTTATGTACACTAAAACTTTGAATATATATGTGTGTGTAAGTTTTAAAGTAAATATTAATAATCTGATAACTCCTGTAAGAATTGGGTATACTTTGTGCTATGTAGAGTAAAGCAACATCCATTTCTGTGCTTTAATTTATGCTTTACTATACTAACTGTACTTAGATAATTCAAGATAAAAAAGAAATTTGCAATAATAGCTGATATCTAACAGCAATTTAGTGACTAATTCTTGCAAACTTATCTGACTAAACAAAAAATAATTATTATTTCTTGTGCCATCTTCAACTATTATGAATCTGTCTGTTCTGAAAATTCATTACATCATCTTGTTTGAGGTCATTCAATGTCACTAGGTAATATGGTGCTAATGTACAATATTAATGTTATACAATTAGAGGCAAGGTGGTCAGCATGCCTAAATGTAAAGCAAATGGTTGCTGGTTTGAATCTTGCTCAGGGCATGAATGTTTCTGTCTGTGTGTTATCCTCTGTTGTGTGATTGTGACCCACTCTATGAACGATTGCCTATGGCAGTGTGTTGGAGGTAATGTTGCTCGCCAGGTGCCCTCTGAGTAATGTTAAACGAGCAGCATCTTCCGAGGCAAAGAATGAGAAGCTCGGTGTTTACCTGTTAAAAAAAATTTTTTTTTTAGTATCTCGTAAATTTTTAATTCAATTTTTTTAACAAAAAAAAATTTTTTTTTATCAATTATTTTTTTTAATAAATTATTTGATTTAAATCAAACAATCTGTTTTAATTTTTAAAAAAAATAATTTATAAAAAGCTACCTTTTTACATTTAATTTATTTCTGCTGAGAAGTTTATTCTTTTACAATTTAGATCATGACTACACCATCTGCAGTAGTTGCAGCTGTTGTTGCAGTTTTAATGTTCATTATGGGAAATTTTTCTCTTCACAAGATTGATGAAGGTATGTTGTTTTATCGAACATGTGAATATATTTGTTAAATTCAGTAATTTTTGAGGGATATGTTTTCAGTATTTTATGACCTAATATCTCAAAAAATTTGGCAAATTTTGGATGACTGCCGTTTTAGTAGTTTTATTTTTTTATTATTATTATTATTCTAGTCAAATATCTGTTTGTGCTGGTAAAATTTAAATGATATTATATATCAATACAATCGATTATTGGTACTAATTAAGTTGTGACATGGTTAGTGATTTAATAATTATTATATTCATGAATGTGTTTTATTTAATTTCATAGTTAGGCACTTTAATTAAACTCTAATTTTATAGCAATATTAACAAATCAAGCTGAGATGGGTTAGCAGAAAGGTTTTTAACAGCGCTGCTGCAAAAGTTGGGGCAACGAAGGTTTTTCCTCTTTATTCTCATTCGGAAAGTTTTTTGGTTGCTGGAACTAGAAGAGGATGGAGGAGCTCTTGTTGCGGGGCTTCATATTGATTTATCCCAGGAGAATCTATAAATTTTTTTAAAATATGTTTCTTTTCTCCCTTAAATTAGATATTTATTAAGTGCTTCTACAATTATCTTATATTTAAATAATTTGTTCGTAATATTCTGTACATGCCATGCGGGCAAACCTCTTCACTAGATTGTCAAAATTATCTAACCTAGAATTTACAATTAATAAACATTGTAACTCTAATAATGTCAGCAATTATTTTTGCCTGAATTAACTTGTACTAATAAGTTAGTTTTCACTTGGTAACTTAAATCAGTCTAACTTATCTTTTCTTTTCCCTTATGTTGTATCTTAAATTTAAATCTATACGGTCACATGTTAATCGTAATAAATAGATAATGTTTTAAATCACTTAACTGCATCAGGGCTGATTGTGCTCCAGAAAAAATCTGGATTTCCGGATTTTTCGCTAACAGTTATCCGGAAGTTTCCGGAGATCGAAGGTCCAGATGTTTAAAAAAATCATTGATCACAGAAGTTTCCGGAAATCAAATTTTCAAAGGTAGAACTTAAAAACACAGTTTATTTTATTTGTTTGTAAGGGAGAGCCAGAGAGATACTTTATAAGCTTATATTCATGATTAATATTCATTTTTATCAGTAAATAGTTGTTATAATCATAAACTCAAGAAACAGAGACATATTTGTAAATTTTAATTACTTCTCCAGGTCATCATAGGTATGTGTAAATGGTACATGTATGTGTAAAAATTTCAATATATTTTAAGTAAACTAGGAAATATTGAGAAAAAGGAAAAAACCTTGTTGAAATTTTTTTCTAAGTTTTCAATTTAAACTTCTTTATTTTTTAAACTCAAGAAAATTTCCGGAATTCTGACTTGGACACCCCTGCTGCATAACATTTTAAAATTTTTATCTGTCTATCTTAGTTACAAATTTAAGGTTGGTTAATCCAAATCAAAAATTCGTAGAAATTCTATAATATGTTTTCTTACCTATACCTAAGAATGTCTGCACTTAAAAATTGACCTTGAGGAAATTAATTTTGATTAAATTCATATAACTGCATTTTAAAATTGAAAAATCATTAAAATCATTGTGTATATTGTTGGCTTATTAAATTAGTTTTATGTGTGTCTCAAGCTTACTAATTTTATTAATTTAAAGAACAGAAGCTAACTAATGATAAACTAACATGAAATAATACTCAAATTGTCTTTGGTTTTCTCAATCTCTGGTAAACAGAGCAATTTAGTAATTGTTATTTTAAAATGTTTCATTTTTATCTATTGTGCTTATTATAAAACTTATTTTCTATTTATTTTAGGTCATATGGGTGTTTATTATAGGGTAAGAGTTTATTTTATTTCTGTATAATACACACATTAAAGATTGTTGTAAAAAAGGTTTAATTAAAGTTAACCTTAAAATTACAGCTATTTCCTATTTTTAAATTAACTATAAAATCTTAACTATGTGGTATGTATAAATTGCTTTCGATTTTGGTTAAAAACATTTATTTAAAACATTAAATATAATTAAATTTAAAAAAAAGAAAGGTTATGTTATTTTGTTCAATTGCTATTTTATTATTATTATTTATAAGCATCATATTTAAATATTTTTTAGTACCAATAAATGAATGAAATTATTGAAAAGTTTACTTTGATTTAGGGAGGTGCATTACTAAAAGAAACCAGTTCGCCTGGATTTCATATGATGATTCCTTTTATAACTACATATCGATCCATTCAAGTAATGTATACCAGTTTTATTTATTTACATTGTATCCCCATGTTTCCTGCTTTTTATTCTGTTTTTAAATTTAGTGTAGCAGGCTTTAAATTAAGATTTCTAAAACTTAAACAAGAAAGTTAATCTATGAGTTGCTCAATTATAATAATATGAATAATATAATTATAATATGAATAACTCAATTTTATAATTGTATTTAAAGGAAAAATGTTGAAAATAGATTATGAAATAATAAATTAAAAGGTTATGCTGTTACCTATTTATTTTGTTATTTTAAAAATAATATCTATAATAGTGTTTTGTTGTTTTTAGGTCACCTTGCAAACAGATGAAGTAAAGAATGTACCATGTGGTACTAGGTAAATATTTTAAAATGTGTGCATTTTAGGTACTGCAATAAATGTAATTTTTCCTCTTCAGGTTGGCAGCTATGTATATGGATAATCTAATCTAATATTTTCCAACTGTTAGATAGGGGAGTACACAAAAACATAAATTCAATGGCAGAGTTGAACCGCTTACCTGTGGAATATATTTTTAAACAAACACGCTAAAAATTGATTTTTTTACTTTTTAATTATCATCAAAATGTTAGAAATTGATCATTTTAAAAAAAGGAACATATTTAATCGAGATAACTACTATATTCAATATTTTCACATGTATGGGAAATATTAATGGATTACAGTAATTTTTGCTCAAATTATCAGGGTGGCCACCTACCTGGAAAACCTGGAATTATCAGGGAATTTTTTTATACTGGAAAAAACCTGGAAATATCAGGGAAATTTGGATAAAAACCTGGAAAAATCAGTGAATTTTAAAAAAAAAAGCTGGAAACTTTTTCCATTCATAATTTTTTAAATTTCACTAATTTAAATTATTTGCTAATTTTCTTAAATTATTTCATCCATTTTACTCACTTTTTTTTAAACGGAAATGTATCGCCAAACAGTTGAAATATCATCAACTTAGCGATACTTTGCTTGCATCAAAATTTGCTCCATTATAGTTCTGTTAAACTAGAATGCCATATAAAATTCTCCCACGGTTGCTAAACAAATGTGGAAACCTTTGACCGCTATGGAAATTTAGGAAAGATTCTGGTGGAAAAAGGGATTAGGTTATTAGCTTCTGTTTTTAAATTCTGTCCTTGGGCTGAATCCATTTATGGCTCAAGTTTGTTCCGATGCTTTGGTGGTTTCTCTATTTTGACAAAATGTTTTTGTATTTTTAACTTTATAAAATTCTCCAAAAATTAGTTGGTTATAATTTTATGATAATAGATTTTATATCACACTCTTTTTCTGAAAGCTTTTCTACTCCCGTTCAAAGAAATCTGCGAATTATTTTTTCTGAGCAAACCAACCAATCACACATTTTTTTACAATCGCTAACAGCAATGTTTGTCGACAAATTGTTACAATTGTTGCATCAATGCTAATTTTTTCTATTTCATTTTAACCTCTTATAACATATTTTAATTTTAAAAAAAAGGCTCCTTCGTTGGTCAATATATGATTTTTGATTCAAAATTTTGTACCAAAACATTAAAAAATAAATAAAAAAATTTTGAAAATTGTCAAAATAAATTATTTTTTTCAAGATGATATGTTAAAAAAATAACATTTTGGATAAAATATTTTATAATGTAGACACTTTTCTTGTACACATCCTATACTTTATAAGAAAAAGGAAACAAAAACCTGGAAATTTTAAGATTTTTTTCTGGAAAACCTGGAAAAATCAGTGAAATCTGATTTGAGTGTCCACCCTGATTATAGCAAAATAAATCAAACGACACAATTTTGAAGATAAATATATTAAACTAATACAACAATATTATTATTTATATCAACTGTCACGAATTTCGCATCTCTCAGATTCCTTTGAACTGCAAAATTAAAAAAATCTGACAAATGGTTAAAAACTGCCAAATTTTATGCATAAAAATTTAAAAATGAGTATCTTCATCTATTTTAAATTGCATATTATGCATTGGATGAACTGAGTTCAGACTTAACAAAATCGAAACACCAATTTTTCTCTTGCCCAAGCTCAGGTAGTGTGTTCCAAAATTTGCACGTTTGCTTTCCCTGAACTGAGTTAAGGCATCACAGGCCAAAGGATTAAATGGATAACGTTAAAAAAAAAAGTAATTAATTTAAATAAATTCCTATATTCTGCACTGTTGCTATTTATAAAATGTTACTTTACTTTTTCTAGATCATATCTTTCATTTTTTTTTTCTTGTATATGAAATATTTCTGATTTTGTTTTACAAAAAAAATTTTACTGCTTTTTTTCTTAAAAAAACAATGATTAACCCATTGGCAGTTCTGCACGTATTTTAGTTTGCAGTCTTATATTTTTAATGTTTGTATTCTATTCAATAGCAATTTTCGTAGTGCAACAATTAAAAAATTGGCATAAATTTTTTTATTATAGTGGAGGTGTTATGATATATTTTGACCGAATTGAAGTGGTTAATGTTTTAGATTCAAATAGTGGTAAGTTGCTTCTAAATATGTTTTTTTTTTATCTTTTTCTATGTTTAAAATTAGTGAAATTTATCTATGCTTTCATTATAATGAATGATTTTAGACTTATGCTTTTTTTTAGTATTGTTAGTAATCATTGCTATTTATAATGTTCAATCATAGTAATTCATGGAACAAATAAGAAAAATTCGAGCTGGAGGAATACATCTGATTATTTAAACCTTTTAATTTAATAAAATATCCTATTTTGTGAATAAAAGAAATTCAAATGATTATTATGTCTTATATTAGTATATTTTTTATATTTTAAGTGTCTAAGACAATTTAGCAGAAATATTTAACAAGTTTGGCCATTGATTGGGATATAATGATTATTTTAAAATAGTTTTAAGATTACCCCTTAATAGTAAAAATAACTGCTTAAATGATCTGCAAATTTAACAAATTGCACAAGCTTCACTTCACCTCAACCATTATGTATCTGCATTCTAGTAACTTCCATAAAAATCAATGAATTAACTCTATTGCATAACAAAAGAATCGTATTATAAAATCTTGTAATAACTTTGTGTGTGAAAGACTTTCGAAATAAGGTCTAAAATTTATGTAATCTGAAAATATATTTAATTAAACCAATTAAAAAATATATGTGCTCAAAATTTGTTATTTCCTGATAATTCCTCTTGCTTACAAACTTTATTTTTAACTATTAACTTGTTTTTATATTGCAGTATATGATATTGTACGAAATTACACTGCTGATTATGATAAAGCCTTAATTTTCAACAAAGTTCACCATGAATTGAACCAATTTTGCAGTGTTCATAATTTACATGAAGTATATATTGATTTATTTGGTAAGTGTATTGATTTAAATTTATGATTAAAATGAGCTTGTAAATATCTTTTATTTAATTCGTTATAAACTATTTTATAATTTTGTTTTTCTTTATCTTATAGTATTTTTTAAACTTAAACTAACAAAATTATACTGTAATTGAAAAAAAAAATATTTGTGCAGTTTCTGGGAAATCTGGTTTTTTCATTTTTGCTGCACGATACTCTTGTTATAGAGATACAAATATCAGTGGATGTAATAATTCGAGGACACTATTGCAAACTATCCTGCAAATAATGTTGCCTAAAGAGTACTGAATAAGTATTTACAAATTTGTTATTAAATAGCTTTTAAAAATAAATTAAGAAGAAAAAAATTAACATAGCTTCTTTTGGAGGGGGGGGGACTGTAATTAGGAAAACCATTCTGTGGAAATAAGAAGTTAAAGTAAATTTTATAAAGTTTTTAATTGTTCAATATTTAGAATATTTAAAGTAGAGCTATATACAGGTTCTTAAAATTTCTGACATTCTTGTTTCACGTAACTATTTTTAAGATATCTATGTTGTGGCATGGTGGTGTCTAAGGGTTACAGATAAACACAATTAATGTAATGTAATAGCTGTTTAATAAGGCTTAACAACAGAATGTATACAAGGGCAGCTGGTTCAAACGAGACTCCATGTGAAGTGCATCTGCCCTGTCGTTAGTCTCCAGGAGGAATAAGTGACACTGCCAAGTTTCAGTAACATGTGTGCAACATTTATGTTCTTATTTTGGCATCTTTAGGGGTTTTTTTTTTTGGTTTTTTTTGTTTCATAAATCTGACAAATTATCCAATTTTGATGTACACATAATAGTTTTTATCAAAATTTAATGTGCAAATTGTCTTTCTTTTAAATGTGTGTGCAACATTTATGTTCTTATTTTGGCATCTTTAGGGTTTTTTTTTTTTTTTTTTTTTTTTTTTTTTTTTTNTTTTTTTTTTTTTTTTTTTTTTTGTTTCATAAATCTGAACAAATTATCCAATTTTAATGTGCGCATAATAATTTTTATCAAAATTTAATGTGCAAATTGTCTTTCTTTTAAATGCAGGTGTGTTTATTTCAGCTTTTTCTGTTAGATAATTATATGCAATAATACACTCCTCCAAATTAAACAAATTCTTAAGGGTTTTTTTTTTATTGTCTTATTTCAATTGGAATTCAGTTTTGTGGTCAATAAAATTATTTATATTTTAAATTATACAAATTTGAAATCAAACAATTTATTTCCCTAGATCAAATTGATGAAAATCTGAAAATTGCTCTTCAAAAAGATTTGAATAAAATGGCTCCAGGTTTATACATTCAAGCTGTTAGGGTAACAAAACCTAAAATACCAGAGACTATAAGGAAAAACTATGAGCTTATGTAAGTATATTAATGCTATCTTTAATCTATTATTTGTTTTAATTTTTTCCCCTACAAAAATTGTTATTGTGGAAAATTGTGATTTATGTCAAATCAGCCATTTCATCATGAAATGATTAAGCACCTCCCCTCCCCCTCCTTTTTTTCTTTTTTTTTTCCCTTTGTGTACATGATGGCAAAGTTGGAAATACATTTATTCCACACTTTTAATGTGATTATAATTTAGTATTTGTTGAAATTAATTACAAAGTTCATATTTTATTTAGTTTTCTTTGATGAAAAATACTTGAATAATTAATGGTTACCATTATTATAAATGGCAGGTATATGTAGCCCATCACCCAACATTCAGTGTCTTTTTTTCCCCCCCATGTATTTTTTAGGTTATACACTTAAGTAGTATTCCCTACTTTGAATTATTTTTTTTTTAAATTTGATATTAAATAAGCTGATTAAAGTAAAATCTGTTTCATAAAAAATTTATTTATTTAATAAATATTTATTAAAAAATTCTCTAAAAGTTCTCTATTAAAAAAAGATTTTAAAAAAGGGATAAAAAAATTTCTCTTTCGCTTTCTGTGACTTTGGTTTTCCTTGTCTTAGTTTTTTCTTTTAAGAGACTATAATGTGGTATATTTAAAAAAAAACACACATTTAATTAGTTTATGTTTAATGAAGTTTATATTGGACATTGACAATTGCTTGTGGGAAGAGTAGATCTACCATCTAAATATTTGTGTGAAACAAAGGGGGCACATTGATTATTTATTACCTGTTTATAAAAATAAAATAGAAGTTAAAGTTTTTCATTTCCTTATTTCAAAAAGTCCTTTTTTTTCATACAAAAAACCATTTTTCCTTCACCTTGTTTCAAGAGATTATTTGGTGAAGAAATTTTTGTGTAAAATTGCCCAAGAAGTGCTACTTTCAACTACTTGATGAGGGTTGGTGTTAAATTACTTAGTATTTTTAGTTGAATAAAAATAGCTTTATAATTAGCCAGTTATTGAAACTTTCATACTCTGGCATTTGATCTTCATACTTTTGTAATATTTTTATGATGCTACATTTTAATGATGCAAGTATGTATTTAATGTTTGGAAGGGGAAAGGTAAGAGTTTTAATTATTTTTTGTGCAGTAAAACTAATAGTTAAAACATGCTAAGTATGATGCCTTAGCATTTCCATATTTTCTCTGCACCAGTCTTTAATCTAAACAATTATGTAAAGAAATTTATTGTAATTTTAAAAAGTACACACGGGTCCTTTTCCAAAGCTTAATTAGTTATGAAATGTAGAATTATTGTATTTTTACTTTTGAAATTTGATCTTATATTTTTGATTAGTAACAAAATATCTTTAAAAAATATTTTACAAAATTAGAAACATTAGTTTTTGAGAAGATATTTTTATGAATTTTGATATTTCATATTCTAATGCTTTTTGGGTAATAAACTTATCTATAGCAATAGTTTTTGCATTAAAAATTTTGTAAAGCTTAGTTTAACATTTTGCTCAGAGTTTAACTTAATTTTAATATGAGGACAGTAATGAAGTAACATGATTAATTATTTTTTTTTTTTTTTAACTTAGAATTTATGAATTTTGTGATGGCATGGCATTTTTATTTTCTTTACAGGGAGAGTGAAAAAACAAAACTATTAATTGCAGTTCAAAGGCAAAAAGTTGTTGAAAAAGATGCTGAAACTGAAAGAAAAAAGGCTGTTATTGGTACATTTTTGATTCTTATGCATTCTAAATGGGGGGGAAAATAATCACTCTATTAGTTCTTGCTCAATCAATTAGTCATAAATATTTTCAATATATTGTTTAATGTTTTGTCTATCAATTTTAAATTCCTGAAATCAGTAAAATGAAGTTTGTTGCGAGTGAAAATGCATAATTAGGAAATTTCTCCCTTTTTTATATAAAATTCTTTGTTTCAATTTTTTTTGAAGAATAATAATTGACAACATTAATTGTATAATTAATTACATCCATTTCATTCCACTGGGTACAATATCATATGATCTTCAACAAAATATAATTTTAACTTTGAAAAAAAAATTATATATTTCGTAAATTTTTTTATTCAAATAACTTATCTTTTTTTTCTTCTGATATTTGATTATCAAGAAAGTTGTAGCATTAAAAGTTTCAAGTCGTGCATCTAAAGTAAATTAAATTCTAGTGAAATTGTCTATGTATCAACTAATTATGTTAATAAAGCTTCTTGTAGCTCATTTGAACTAATTATATATGTGTCAATCTACAAAAATGTATTTTTCATTTATTTTTTTAGAGGCTCAAAAGAATGCAGAAGTTGCTAAAATTCAATATGAGCAAAAAATCATGGAGAAAGAGTCCTTGAAAAAGATGTCTCTTCTTGAAGGTAAGTTTAAGACCTTAGGACTGAAGAAATGCTGATTTTACTTTGGTTCAGATATTAGCTATATGCAAAAGTCATTATCACCATTAATGTTAAAATTGAATAGAATAGACTAGACACATCAAAAGCTTTTTGCATTTATTTTTCAGAATGAAGTTTTTAATTACTAGAAAGAAAAATATATTTTAGAAATGGCATTTTTCTACATTTTTTGGGGGGAAACAGTGTTTTCATTACAGATAAAAAATGGGAGAGAATTTCTCACCCTTCTTCAAAAACAGGGTGAGATTTCAAAACGTTAAGTGAGATTTCTTAAAATTGAAAAAAAAAAAAACACGAATAGACTTGGAAAAAAATTATTTCTTTAACTATAATACATTTTTAACATCTTCTAATTGAATACTTTTTCATCAGCTATTATATTTCCGTATTTGTTTCGTTTTGACCGTTTCTACCGTCATTTGCTTCATTTTCATTTGTCTGTTACGGAGTAGAAGATGTCGCCTTAACAAGGTATTTGTCCATCTTACATTCATGCACAAGAAATGTAAACGTCTTACATGAAGAAACCTTACCTACGGTGAACACGTGGTTGCAGAGAAATGTGTTCTGAAAGGGGTTCCGTGGTTCGGGGGTGTTGTTCTGCTGTTTGCACCAGTTCTGAACAATACTGGTAAATAGGGAAGCTAGATAACAAGGAACGATGTTCAAAATAATGAAAGATCAAGGAAGAAAAGTGAAACGGATTTTATTCAAAATGGCAAAATACGAAATTTTTTCCAAAATTTTCGCATTTTGAAATTGATTACTAGAGTGCGCGAACTTCTCGCGTTAATAATTTTTTATAGCTAGAAAAGAAAAAAATATGTGAGATACTCGCGTTCTCGCGCTGTAGTGAAAACACTGGGAAAGTTTGTTTTATATATCAATCTGCCCCAGTTCATATGTGTCCCATATTTGATTTCTGTATGAATTTATCCCTGTTTATATCTACCCCATATTTGTTTTCTATATGAATCTGTCTTATTTCATATATCCCCCATATTTGTTTCCTATCTGAAGTCCAATGTATGAATATTAATTTGAATGGATAAACATGTGCAAATGTACTATTACCTTATAATATGCTGACGAATTTGTATCACCATGCTATTTTAGTATTTTTATTTTAATTGAGTATCATGTCTAATTTTTGATTACCTTGTGTATCAAGATCATTTTTACTACTGGAAAACCTTTTTTTCTACTTATGAAGTCATTTTATTGTTAACTTATCTGAATCAATTTTAATTGTTTTCTACTGTAGTGTAATATTTTTTAAGTTTAAAATAGTTAAATATGGCGATTTACAATTCTTATAATAGTGTTTTGTATTTTTAGATGAAATGGCTTTTTCAAGGCAAAAAACTAGAGCTGAATCTGAATCTTATACCAAGAAACAACAAGCTGAAGGAAACAAGGTATGCCAACAATCTTATTAAAATATCTTTCCTTGCTATATATCCCACTTATTCATTATTATTTTTTGCACCCTTTTTTTTAATTGCTAGTTGAATGTTTTGGTATGTGGTTTATGCAATATGCACAGCAGTAATGCAAAATTCGGTAGTTTGTTTAATGCGCCAATAATTTTAATTGCTTTATTATTTTAATTACTTAATTATTACTTTAGATTTTTGTGTCGTAGGCTCTAAATTTTTTTTAAAAAATTAAACATTCAAAATAAAATAAAGTCAAAATTGTTATCAATTTTAAAAGTGGACTTCTTAAAATGGCTCCTTAAAAAGTAAACTTTTTCTTTAACATTCAGATTTAAAATTAATATGTATCGAAAAAAAGGGGGGGGGACATTCCCGCAACAGTCAGTCGGCGACTAGAAGGCTCATGGAGATTAAGGCTCCATATTTTCATTACAAGCAACATTGTGCATCAACTGCTTATGCTTCCCTGTCAAGTTAATTTGTGTCTTAGAATTTCATAATTATAGTTCAGTCCCTTAACTGCTGTGTGATTGAGGCTTATATACCTCAATATTCTTTGTAAAGTAGCCGAAAGAAGTGCTTGTTAATTTTTTTTTTTTTTTTTTTTTTTAAATTTACTTTCAAATTTTCTTGACATTATAATTAACTGTTATCTCTGGTTTTATTTATGCTTGCATATTTATTGTAATAAATCTATTTATAAATTAAATTTGTTTTGCTAAATAATGGTTAGTATTGTAGTATTTTTTTTCAACATTTAAGCAACCAAATTTACTTTTATTACCAAATTAATTCATTTAACCTTATTAAGCAAACAAGATAAATGCATAAACTAAATTCAAAAGGAAACTTACACAATGAACTGCATCAATTTATAAATGTCTTTTCTATTAAAATGTTACAATGTTATACTAATATACTGTGTGTGTAATTATAACTTTAACTATCTATTAAGAATTTATTTTATTTTAATATTATTATATATGTCATTTCATTTCATTAGCTTCTTTTAACACCTGAATACTTGGAGCTTAAGAAACTTGAAGCCATTTCTCAAAACAGTAAAATATATTTTGGATCAGATATTCCTAAAATGTTCATGGATACTAGTCAAGCTTCTCCTGACGTGAAAAACGTGGTGAATTCTGAAGTGTTGTTTGTAAGTATAATCTGTTAATGAAGCATGCTTTATTATTTTACTTTATTTGTGTTGAAAATTGCAATAATTGCATACTGAAACTTTGTTTTGCTTTTTTTTTAAATAGATAATATTATTCCATGGGGATTTCCATGAGGAAATATTTTTCAGACTTTAAAATAAAAATTATCTTTCATTCTAAATAGTTGCATCTATGTATGTTAAAATGGCTAGTGGTATGGTGTATTTTATTTTTAATGTGATGAATTACTAGTCTGGTGCATGTCTATGTATGCTAACACAATTCTTTACATATACAATTATTGCAGTGACAATGAAAACAAATTTATTTGTGCCTTGTTTTCAATACATGATTACTTTTTTCAAAACATAATTTTCAGCTTGTTTTGCCATTTTGTAAACTATTTGTTGAAGTACTAAAGAATGTAGATAAAAAAAAATAATATTTCCATCTATAAATATTTATTAAATGTATACTAAACATTTCATACAAGAGCTTCAAAAATGGTAGCAAAAAACTAAACTATATGTATTTTTTAACCTGCAATAATTGGGTTGAAAATTAGCAAACTTTCCTCTCAATTTAAATAGCTCTCAGACTTGGAAAGTAATTTATTAGCACCTTCATCAAGGAAAAGATTTAGATTATCTTGTTAGCCTTTATAACCCTGTATGCAAATAAACTTTCTCAAATTTTGTACTCTGTTACTTCCAGGTTGATTAAAATGTTCATTTTGAAGACTGGAAAAGTTAAACTTTTAGAAGATGTTTTGCAATATTTCTACTAGAAATATTGCAACTTTGAAATTTAAACCTATACCATCTTTACAAATGAGAAAAACTCTAATGCTAAAAAATTCTTGAGGATCATTTTTTTTATTTACTATAACAGATTTTATTATTTACTGTAACAAATTGACCTCCAGTATTTCGTACATAAAACAAAATTATCAATTTCGTCAATAGTCTAGTTTTCAACACAGCTTTTTTTATTGCTATGTAATCCACCCATTTAACTCTTTTAGAACTATGATCATGACACATTACTTGATACTGAATGAAAAGTAAAAAGTTCTTCAATAAACAAGTTTGTACTGATTTCCTTTTTTTATTTCTCTTTTTTTTATAATAAAATTGTAAATATTCTTCTCGGTGTTTATAATGAAATTATTTATGTACCATCTACATTGCTTTTTTAATTGCAATGCCAGTGAAAATATTACCGACCATCTCTTTTGAGGTCTTTTCAAATTTAAATACGTATCTGTTTTGTTTTTATTCTTAAACTTCAAGAATAATGGGGAAGAGATAAACTGAAGTATATTTATGATTTTATATTTGTGTTCATTTTATTTAAAAAGTTATGATTTTATATTTTCTCCAAATATTAGTGATGTACAATAAAAATTAAGTAAACATTTTTTCCAATACTCAAATTTTCTCAATTACGAAAAATAAAGGAAGGAAAGAACAAAAATAAATTAATCTTTTTAAATGTTTTGTAAAATTAATTAATAATTTTAAGCTAGTAAAAGTTGCAATTATTGATTTTTTTTTCATATTATTAAAGGATTTTTTTCATTATTATTTGAAGAGTATTTTTTATTTTCAAACAATTTATTTGTTTCAACTTTTCACCTGATTTCCTTTTATGACAAATCAATAATTTTAGAACTATTGCCATTATTTTTAAAATTTCTGCAAAATTAATTATAATTACAAATAGCAATTCAGCTGTTTGACAAACCCTACATTTTCTTTTCAGTGTGATTTATTACTGAAGCTACATGAATGTTAAGAAATTTAGTTGCTAAATTTTGAAAGGCAAACAAGCTCTACTAATTTCCATTGCATTTTCCATCTTAGAAATCCAGTTTAGCGTTTTATGAGTTAATAGAATCTTTAAAACATTAAAATTTACACAGTACATAAAAAATCCTGTAATAATTGTTTTACGTTTTTTAAATGTATTTAATTTATTGTACCTACTTTTATTAATACATTAACTTTGCAAAAGCATGCATTTGGTATCATAGTGAACATGACACATCTTTATTTAATTATTTACATATTTCTATAGAATTTTTTGCAACTTATGTACCTACAAGCTAAACTGTCAAATTATTTAATGAAACATAAATTAATTACTGTATGGAATAAAATTATACAGAATTCTCACTTTTCAAGATATATGTAATTTTTATCGACCAATTTATATAATTTAAAAAACAATATTTTTTAAGTATTCTGTTTCCTTTATATTTCAGAGTTCAGAAACCTCATCCAAAGACTCTCGGAAGAAACCCTGAATTTCTTTTCAAGTTAATGGCCCTGGCATTTCAAGAAATCATTCTTGAAACATAATTGTTCAGGGAACAAACTTTGTTTTGCAAAAAAGCTCTAAATTTGTTGTTTTACCAAATTCTCATGTGTGAAACTCTTTAAAGGTTTTGTAATTTTATAATAAAAAATGAATTTTCAAAACACCAAACTTTGTTAGTAGTTACATCCTATTTTTATCAGACAGGCAAAGTATTTTTTTGTTTTTTTTTTAATTACTACACAAAAATGAATCCTTATGATATTGTTACTGCATAAAATTAAACTTAAAACAACATCAAAAAATACATGCATTATATTGTACAAATTTATTGAAATCAATTTAATGAAATCAAGTAATCAATTTAATGAAAGTACTAATTTGAACTAATTGTTGAATCAAATAGTGCTGGGGATAATGCTCTGCTCACTTAAAATCCTAATTTCTACCTGCAAACTGCAGGGGTCCCCAAAGGGAGTTGGATCTGCCTGAGGTGTCATTTTGTTTCTATGGTCTCGATTTTTGACCAATTTTTTATGTATATTTAAAAGATTTGTATAACATGATTCTACAAACTGCAATTTTCCATATGCCGCATTAATTTTATAATCTCTTAAAGCAAACCAAAATAAATAAGTTTTTTTGATTTTATTTATTTATCAGTTTTTTCTGTAATAAATGTGCATTACATAAATAATAAATTACTTAAATGTTCATTTTTTTAAAAGTATTTATAATTAAGAATTATGAAACGTTAATTTTAATCAGTTGCACAGAAATGTTTACAAATTAATTTTGATAATGTGTGAAATGATTGATAACATAAAGTTCTTTACAATGTAAAGCCTCATGTTTCAAGTTTTGCAAGTTTTTCTATTTTATTTTAAAAATAATTTTCCCATTCAAAGTACAAAATATATAATTCTTTATCTTTGAAAATTAATGAGGAAAAATATTACTTTTGTATAGCCTTGTTATGCAATTTGAAATAATGTAATGTGAACTGTAAGACACCACAGTTCACAATTACACCAGTACCAATATTTTTTATGCATTATTATTGCATCGCATAATTGAGATCCATTTTTCGATGCTCTTGATTTTGCTTATAAGATTTTCAAGAATTTTTGCTTTGTGTCACAATCACCTTTGGTAAAAGGTTCTATTCTATTTTAAAAATGATTTTCTCATTCGAAATGGAAAATCTATGATTCTTAATCTTTCAACTTCTTTATTGTAAGACTAAATTTTTAATGCTTGCAGTTTAATATTAAATTGTCTTTCAAAAATTAATTATGGTTATGTGAAAAATGACTAAAATATAGCTTTGTTCTGTCATTTTAAGCAATTTACTGTGAATTATATGCGACATTAAATACACTGGCACTTATCTCCAAGATAAGGTAGACAAAACAAATGATTTTACCCATGTTTTCTATAAATATCAAATGAAGTAATTGCAAAAAATTTTAAAAGAAGTTGCAGTTACCATGCTTATATCTTTTCACTCTTAATTTATTTTTAATAGTTCTATATTTATAAAAGGATTTGTGATAATCTAGAAACCTCTGAAATAGTCCTTTATAAATACCAAACTAAACGGATTTAATGTATTTCTAAAAATTGTTTAGGAATTGCATAAACTCTAACTCCTAATTCGTTAAATTTAGTGCCAGATGGTTCTGAATGAAATCTGAACTCTCACTGTTAATTTTTTTTTAATTCGGGGGTTTAAAAAAAAAATTAGAAACAAACTTATCTCTTTTGTAAACCTCACTGTAGGAACTTATAGAAGCCAGGTTACTTTCAAATTGTTCAAAGCACTAAAATAACCAGTTTCAAATATCCATGTTAATCATTCATTTTTTTTTTCTATAAAAATCTAAGAATCTGAACTATCAAAAGGTTTAAAGTATAAATTTACTCTAGAATTATCCCCTTTGTTAGTCACAAGTCTTTAAAGTTAGGCCTACTTTGTCAGGGTCACTTAGTGTTTCCATTTTACTTTAGTAGCTCCTCAGTTTTCAAAACCATAGATTTGTGAAATATTTTGGCTAGACAATATTCTTTAATATAATGATTTTAAAACTTTCATGGCAAGCCCTTTGAAATAAAAATTGGCAAACTATTATACCTTGAAAATATGATAGTACTGAATTTGCTATGATAAAACCAAGTGCAGCTTTTGTGTTTTATTGAGTTTATTTTTTATTAAGTTTACATTCTATTTACTCCTACATAAACAGCAAAGGAATCTGAAGCAAATATAGCACTTTTTAATGAGGTATTCTTTTAATTATGTAGTTTTCTAGTGTAATGTATAATTTTTTCATAACTTTTGGTTGCAAAAATTTTTTGTTAAATATTTTATCTAGTAATTATGTTGACCTGCAAAAAATTAAAAAGTCTTTAAATTGTTGATCATACAAAATTTTATTTATTGCTTTTACTTGTTTCAATAAGGAACATCAACCAAGTGGTTGCATTTTACTGCATCAAAAGAACGGTTTCAAAGCAATATATTTTGTTTTCAAAACTTCTCCTAATCGTTTTTTTCCCGTTTTGACGATATTGAAGGAGTTTTTCAGGCAAAATTTAAAAATATTGAAAATGTTAGGGAAGTCTCAGTTACATCCTTCAGTAAACACTGGCCCCACAGCCCCGATTTACTTTGGAACCTTTCTTGAATTTTGGCTCATGCGATTGCACGCTAATGTGATTCGTGCGTCCGCGAACAGTTCTTGTCGTTTTTTAAACATTCACATGCACATCTAGGGCAATCGCATGCCAAGTGAATACTCCTTTGATGAATATATTGTGAGAGTATGAAAAGCAATATTAGCTTTGTATCATGGACCATAGACTCGCCCACCATAGTCATCTTTTTTCTTCTGAAAGGCCGAGATTCATGTGAGTGTATTCAAATATTAAAAAAGGATGAAAAGTAACTTTTATAATATTTTCCGAGTAAGAAAAATAATATAAGCTTTGTATCATTCAGCATAGACTTATCATATAGAGACATCCTTTTTCTTCTGAGAGGCCGAGATTTGTGTGAATGTAATAAAACATTAAAAAAGTTCCTTTTCATTAGTGAAATCGGTAAAAAACAGAGCATGAAACGCTACGCAAGTGCAACCAATCCATTTCACGAATGCAGCAAGACTGATCTATTTATGTGGAACATGCAAGCTACAAGCTTATTACAATCGTCTATACAAGTTGATAAATTCTCCATCGTTATCAACTGTCAGTGTTTTGTTTGTTCTGTTTCGGGTTTTTGCGTTTTTTGCTTGGAAAATGCTCTGAAATTCGTTATAATATATTTGATTAAATTATCGAGGGCTATATATAATACTTGAGGCAATATGGCTCGGTAAAAATATGTTTTCTGTGTTTACTAATTTTATATTTTAGGCTGTTTAGGCTTTGCAGCTGCTTGGAAACTATTATTCTTAAAAACTATGCATTCTCTTGTTGTTCTGGTTCAATTTGCTGATTTTTGGGCCTACTCTATTTCAAATTTATTAACGAAAAAAAAATTTTTTTTATGTATGGAGACTTATAACCATTAGATTAGAGAATTAAAATGGCATTCCAGTTTCAAACTTGAAGCCTATATCCTATTTCCCAGAAAAAACCTTTAACACGGTATCCCTTCCGCAATAAAATATTAGTATTTCATATTCAAAGCTTGATAAAAGATAATTAAAAAAAATTTGGTAGAAAATTAATTTAAAATTTTAAAAAATCAGTTTAGAATGAAAAACAACTGCACAGATTTGCTAAAAACCATGAATTAACCCTAATACCACCTTCTGCTCTCCGTAAATTGTGAAAATAGCATGCATATACCAGCAATGCCTTTAGATCATCATTAATAATTAATCCCATACCATTACCAATAGCCCTATAGCATATAGTTAGCATTAAAAAAAATTAAGTCCCTGATTGGAAACTTTCACTTTAAATATCTGAAGTTCAGCATTTAAGTTAAATAACTGAAAAGGATACATAAATAGCAGAAGATAAAATCATAATTTTTTGAAATGTTTTTAACTCGAAACACAACGAACCCGTGTTTGTGCTGCACCAGATCTATTGATATTGACATGGGTAGAAAATTTCCATACTGGTACCTGTCCTGAAAAAGTCACCAAATTTTGACAGCAGCTAGGCATTGTCAGACGAGAAACTCAAAAAGACCATTACTTAAAGCAGTGTTTCCCAAAGTGTGGTACGCGTACCCCCAGGGGTACGGGAATCGTTTAGAGGGGGTACGTGTTCTTATGCGAAATATCTTGCAACAAACGAAAATTTCAAAAATTTTATTTAAAAACAAAGTTAGCCATAAAAATCTACGATTACGTATTTTTCTATTGGCTATTTTTTGCAGAGTTAACAGTTAATAATTAGTGGTGTCAGCAGCTAGTTGTGATTTCTAATTTTTGTAAAATTTTTTATAGTAAAAAATGCATTCATTTTTTATTAGTGGTACACAGGGTTGCGAAAAATTTAGAAAGGGTACTCAAAAGTCATAAGTTTGGGAAACACTGACTTAAAGAAACGAAAACCGGGTGTATAGCACAAAGTCCCTCTCATGTATACCCTGATTTTTTGTTATTACAAAAACGATTTAATGATTGTTGGTATGAAAAGGTATTGATACATTTAAATATGTATGTCTATCATTAAAATCATTTTTTAGTTTTAGTTTAATAATTTTTTAACTCATAGATTAAGCAATGGGATAAACTAGCTTTCATGGAGGACTTTTTGATGCAGCAAACCCACATTTGCATTACATAGAGAAGAAAACCCCCCACTCTTAGCGTAATGGCAAAGGAATTTAAAATTATTTTCGATCTTCAATAAAGGATATTTTACGTCAGCACTGTGTTTGGTGCTAGCCGGAGACAGAATTTATATTTCTGGGACTTTAATCTGAGTTACCTAATCAAAAGTCGAGTGCTCTATCCCCTAAGTCACCAGGGCTTAGAAGAAGAGGCAGTTTTAAAATGGTTGTGAATGTTCTATGAGGGAATACTTTTTGAAATTTAAGACAAATTTCAAATGAACGTGACTCACGAAACATTAGTGAACAGTACATTTTAACCCTGAATAGGCCATGGTACATTGTCAGTGTTTTCATCGCAGAAAAAAAATGGGTGAGAATTTCTCACCCTTTCTTAAAAACTGGGTGAGATTTCTAAAAATTAAAAAAAAGAAACAAAGAGACTTGAAAAAAAATCATTTCTTTAATTATAATACATTTTTGACATCTTCTAATTTTTAAAGCATTGAATATTTTTGCTGCATCATCATATGGAAAATGCTCTATACCTACTTTTTCATCAGCTATTCTCATTAGGTTGCCCAAATGCGTATTTGTTTCGTTTTGATCGTTTCTACCCACTTTTGTTTCATTTTCATTTGTCTGTTTCGGAGTAGAAGATATTGCCTTTACAAGGCATTTGTCCATCTTGCATTAATGCGCAAAAAATTTGAACGTCTTAAGAAACCTTACGGTAAACACTTGGTTACAGAAAAATGCGTTCTGAAAGAGGTTCGGAGGGATGGTGTTCTGTTGTTCTTAAAGATTCTGAACAATACTGGTAAATAGGTATGGGGCAGATCTTGAAAATAATGAAATATCCAGGAAGAAAAGTGAAACTGATTTTATTTTAAATGGCGCAATGAGAAATATTTTTCAAAATGCGAGAAATTCGCGAATTTTGAAATTGGTTTATAGAATGCGCGAATTTCTCGCGGTAATCATTTTTTAATGCGAGAAAAGAAAAAAGTATGCGAGATTCTCGCGTTCTCACTCTGTTGTGAAAACACTGATTGTTTAACATAAGTTTAAAGTAATAAATGTTATAAAATATGAAAGTGTCCCCTCTGCAAAAATTTTAAATACATTTTTGTTTCAAACGTTTTAGTGTGATAAAATAAATTTTTATTGAAACATTTTAAAAGTTACATTAAATTTGAACCATCGAAATTGTTTTGAGAAAACAATAAATAAATTGTTGGATATTAAATATCACAATTGTTGTGGAGGGGATGTTTTCATCACAAAAGGGACCGGAAACCTGTTATTTTCTTCATAAATAAGTAAAATCTATTAGTTTCATTATATTAATTTTAATATAAAGTACAGAACAAACAAAATTTGTGTGACGTTTTCTTCATGAGAAAAAAGTAATAAGGAATGACAGAGAATGGAGCGACAACTAATGTTGAAATTTATCCCACGAACATTACATTGTGTTAGGTTTTTAATCAAAAATAAATTGGGAGTTTTTACAAACTCACTTTAGTAGAGGAAAGAGAAAACTTCTTTCAAATCCTGATGTCTTTATATCAGTTTTTAAGTATGATTCATTGAGTGTTACATCTAACAAAAACATTCATAATCAAAAAAATTCCATCAAATTTATAAAAAAGTGAAAACTGAGTTTTTACAAACTAACTATTCACCCTTACTGTTGTAGAGGAAAGAGAAAGCCTCTTTCAAATCCTGATGTCTTTATATCAGTTTTTAAGGATGTGTCATTGAGTATTATATCTAACAAAAACATTCATAATCAAAAAAATTCCATCAAATTTATAAAAAAAATATTCTAATTGACTATTTTTATGCATTGATCTTACTAACAAAGATCTGAAAGAGATTTTAAAAATTAATATGAAAACAAATTTTTTTTAAAAATAATAAAAGATCAAAATGTCCCCTCCACAGCATTTTACCTACCATAAGTCCTCTGTGCAATGTGTTAAAAATTGTCAATTGAAATACCTTTTAGTGTTTTCTTGTAATAAAATAGTATTATTTCACTTTAGAATTTATGCAAAAAAACATTCAACTAGTATAAGAGCAGAACTTCCATTAGAAATATAGATTTTTAAAAATGCTCAATTTCGCTGTCCCCTCTGAAAAAATATTTTTCTTATTTTTAAAAAAGTAAAGTTTATGGGCAATTTCAAATTGGCTGCTTTTACATATTGATTCTACAAAGAAGAATCTGGAAAAAATGTTAAAAATTAATTTTTCTTTTAAATCTTTTTTTTTAAATAAACAGAAGTCCAAAATGTCCTCTCCACAGCATCTTTCTTGATTACCATGGAATTGTCCTGCAATCACCTAGCCCCTATATATGTTCCCCACCTGTAGAACTGTTAGTGGAGTTTTCAGGCAATGCAGCTGCTAGGTACTTTACATTATAGTGGATTCTGAACCACTTAGATGTGATCAGTGAAAGTCTAGTCTGATTATAGGCCCAGCCTTTAATGTGGAGGATTCTGCTTTCTTGCTATTACACAATAAATTTGCCAAAAATCATAAAAGGGACTCAAATAAGCTATGGCACATCCCCTTGGATAGATAATGTATCAGCGGGAGAAAAAATAAGAGTGCCAGCCAATTTATGTACGCAAAATTATAACCAACTTTAGATAAATATAGTTTTTTATTAAAAGCTGAAGAAGAAAATTTCAGTAATTCTGGGTATCAAATTTCCATTAATTCCTTGATGTATTTTACTTGATCATTCTAATTATAATCTTTGTTCAAATGTATCTCTTGTTTAGAAATTCTAAAATAATTACAAATCTGAATATTAGATAGGAAAAGAGGTAGTGAATTCATATTTGAAAGAGACTTGTTCTTAGCAATAGGAGTCCAGAAATATGAATGTCCTGGTTCGAAAGTCTTGCGTAGTTGTTGTTAGTAGTTAAGTCATAAGTCTATGAAATGATGTCGTTCTTAGTATTATTAAGCAGTCTCATTATATTCTGAAATAGTTATAATAAGCATGAGCAGTTCTTTTGTTCGAAAATAATATTTTTTTCCTTCTTTTCCATGTCAATTTTCGCCATGTATTATGCGCGTACTTTCACATTGTTCCATTCAACATTTTTACAATTCAGTCAACCACAATCTATTTCAGCATGCTGTCGGTCCATAGCGTATAAAAGCGCCAATCATTTTACAGGTTTTATGAAATACTTGCTAGTCCTCGTGTGCGTGCAGTGAGCTGGGTTCGGTGCACTCTAAGGGTCTGTCTAGGTTTTTATGAGAAGTATCTATTTTGTGAATATTTAGACATAATTTGTGAAAAAAATTGTATTAAAAAATCAACACAAAAATATGGTAAAGTAAGAAGATATTTTCAAAAATTGTCACTACAAATAAAAATCATTTGTGACTGGTAAATTTTTATATATTATTTCCCATATATTCAAAAATAATTTTACTATTGTAAAGTTTTGGGCTTAAAATTGTATCTTAATTTAAAAATCATTGTCCATAGTAAAATTTCAACTTGAATTTTTTTTAAAAAAAGCATGCATTTAACAGTACTTGCACTAAAAGTTATTTTCATTATGAGAACATTTCCCACTGGGTCATGTAGAAAAAAGTTTCACAGAGAAAAAAAATGTTTCATAAAGGTCTGTTAAAATAAATTTAGAACAATGTTCGAATGTTTAGAATAATGTTCGAATTTCAACTTCCTGTAAAGTTTACAAAGGGTGCGCCTTGTCATTTAACTTTTTAAAAAAACTCTGTGAAAAAAAAGCTTGTTATAATGTGGTGTAGGCTACCACACCACACCATCTGACCAAGCACAAGCTACCTATCCGTGTATGCTCAATTAACCTGGGATTTATCGTTCCTTACCAGGATACGAAAAAAAATTTCAGAGGTGGGGAGGAGAATCTTAGAGCTTGCTTTTTTAAAGGCATTTTGTGAAATTTTGTGGCATTTCCTAAAGTTGAATTAATGACGGTACTGCTAAATGGCAGTAAATTAGTAAATTTGCCCTGGACAGACCCCTGCACTATCATGTGCAACTCTGCACATTTTGCAAGATATTCTGAATTTCAAGCTTCATTTCCCACCCTCTGAAATCGAACTGAAAAATCTCTTGATCATTTTATAATGGCTAATATAATCAAGAAAAGAGTTCTTTGTCAACAACTAATTATTTTATCATGATCATGTAAAGTCTTTGAAAATTGTTATGCATTTTGTTAATGTATATAGTGCTTAAAAATATTTTTTGAGTTCTTAAAAAGTACTTATTTTTTGGAGCTTATTTTTTGTTGAAAGATTTGACTATGCACCGTGGAAAAGCAACGTAAACATTTTTATTCTATGTTTGTTAATAGCTTACTATACACTTTTTCAATTTTTAGCAGAGGAAAAGCAGTTAGCAAGTTTGGATCAGAACGGAAAATAAAAAATTCTGCCAACAATGATCTGTATGATACCACCAAAAAATTTGATCCTGCCGTGAGGAGCAATAAAATGAATGGTGCTATGCCGGTGAAATCCTTGAGCAATAATATTCAAGAGGTGAAAAATAAATATCACTACTCTTCTCTGGAAAAAAAGTTGGAAAAGCTAGCATTATATTCTTTCTGCAATGTAAGTTAATTTTATACTTATCTATCAAGCATAAAATAGCATTATACATTTAAAATAATGCTACTATATTGTAATTTGATATGTTTATGTGATTTGCATTTTTGTTTACTTTTCTGATTTTATAGAAATGTGTGAAAATAAGATAAAGACCAAAGGGTAATGGCAATTACTAAAGATCATTAGTCAGTGAGCATCACAGGATATTCTAAGTTCAAAAAGGATGTTCCCAAAAAGTTCTCTTGGTGGGTTTAATACAAGATATCGTCACTCTCACAACAATAAATGTTGTATAACAAATTCTAGTGTTATTTACGAGAATGGTAGATGTTGTAGAACATTAAATCTTAGGTCTTGGGATCTTTAATCAAAAAGGCAATGGCATTAGCTTAAGATCAATAGGCATCACAACAAAATCTATTTTCAAAAATTGTGCACGAGAAAGGCTCTTTTGGAGGGTTTAATACAGGATGTGATCCCTCTGACTACAATAATAGTCTCATAATGAATACTTGTGTTTACCAGGATTGCATTGTTTTGGGACTATAAATTAGACCTTGGCATTATTAATCTCATTCTACCATTTAGGCAGTTCTGAACCCAGGAGGACTTGGATAACAGGGATGATGAGCTGCATTTGTCCCGGCAAAAACGTCTGTGTTTCATAGTTTTTAGTTCTGAAGATCTGGCTGGCAATTTCACCCTATATTTACCTTTTATTTTCAACCATAAAGTATTCCTTGATCTGTCCAGTCCTGTGGGGAAAGCATTGTCATCCATGGACATTCAATTGAAAATTAACAATGTCTCTGAATCCTACCTTGGGTATAAAATATCAACCCTATTTCTTCAAAGATTTACCCATAAAAACTGTTTTTATTATTAAGCTGATTTTTGTAGTGATTGTTCATTATTTTATATCATGGTATGGTATATAAACAGTTATTATTTTTAAATTCATTACCTTATAATATGATTATGATAATGTTATAAAACATTTGCTTAAGACTGTTTTTTGAATGCTCTGCCATCACGTGTAGAAACGTTTTTGTGTGTATAATGTGAAATTTTTCATAATTGCTGTTAGTTTTCAACAGTTATTCATCACTCTTAGGACAAGTTTAGTCTATATTTAGCCTGTGCTTTCTATGCTAATTCTAAAGATATAGTACAAGAATATGAAGAAAAGTTTCAGTTTTGTAGAGCACCTTTCGAAAAGTTGCTCTAACACTGCCTTATTTGGGCCCATAAGAATTAAAAATTATTCATTGATTTTCATCTAGGTTGAAAAATCTCACTAATTATCAATTTTCAAAATATTCAAGTTACGGTTATCAAATGCATTCTTTAGCCTGCTTAAATTTATGAAATTTGCTTAAAGTTTCTACTAAAATTTGCTTGCAAATTAGCAATTTTCAAAATATTCAAGTTACAGTTATCAAGTGTGTTCTGAAACCTGCTTATATTTATGAAATTTGCTTGAATTTATGACATTTGCTTAAGACTGTTTTTTGAATGCTCTGCCATCACATGAAGAAACATTTTCGCGTGTACAATATGCTATTTTTCTAATAGCTGAGTTTTCAACAGTTATTCATCACTCTTGTGTCAAGTTTAGTCTATAGCCAGTGTTTTCTATGTTAATTCTAAAAAAATGGTGCAAGAATATAAAGAAAAATTATAGTTTTGTGAGGCATTCATTGTCTAACTTTTACGCCTTTTAAAAAGTAGCTCTAATGCTGCATTATTTGAGCCCATAAAAATTGAGGATTATTCATTGATTTTCATCTAGGTGCAAAAATCTCACAAATTAGCAATTATCAAAATATTATGATTATTAAGTGTGTTCTGAAACCCAGATAATTCTCTACAGCTAGATGGTATATTATAGTTTTAAATTATAGCCTTACTTCAAGTGTAAGTCTCGTAAACTGTTTTGTTTTTTTATTTTCTTTAGCGAAAGAGCTTTGAAAAACACTGTGAACAACAATTGTTAACATTGATTGACTGTAACAAGTAAAAGTTTTATCATGCCATTTTAATTTTTGTCTTAGGAGGAAACTTATATTTATTCCATGTTTAATAAGTTTATTATTAGTTATCAATGTATACATTTAATTATTTAATTATACTATAATTATGCTATTTTTTTAAAAAGTTATCTTTTCTCCCCTCTTTCACCTAGACTCAAGATTGTTCATGCAAAGGATGGAGACCTTCTGAAACTTATATGTTTAGGGATGAAGAAGCAAATATGAAATCTCCCTGTAAAGTTTGCTCACATACTTTGGGTAAAGTTTCTATCTATTTTTTTAAGAAAATTACACTTTGATAATTTTTTATACACTTTAATGGTTTTAATTTTTAGACGGAATTGTATTATTTTCATCCAATTTTTCAAGTTTCTGCTTCTAATAAACAATATTGTATGTTGATATTTTGGCATGAAGGATGGTCTTTGAGAAAATGTTTGGTGTTTTTAAGTTTTGTGAAGCTTGAGCATTTTTAAAATAATGAAATTCCTAAGGATGTTAAAAAATTATTCCAAGAAACTGAAGGGGTAAGGCATTACTTGATTAAAAACTTTATTAACTTCAAAATTATATACAAATAGAAAATAATAGTCAACATGCTTCAAGCATTAAAAAACAGGCACCTATTTGTGAGCGCTTGAGACACGTTGACTGATATTTCCTATTTATATACTTTTGAAGTGAATGAAGTATTTAATCAAGTAATACCTTAGTGATTGATAAAAATGGATTTTTTTATCCTATATAATTAAAGTTTAAAGAATACTAGAACAGAACAGCGCGTGTAATTTTTTAACTGAGATTCTTATGATTTGAGAATCATATTTATTAAATTCATGATAATGTGAAAAATGTGCAAATTTATTTCTCTTGTCATTCTATTAATAGACATTGCATTTTTTCTAGCTTTTTAATATCATTTAACTCTAAACTTATATTTAATCTTCGAAGTCTGTCTTTTATAAATATATTTATTAAATCTTTATCTCAGGAAAACACTTGGGACTGAAATCATTATTTATAAAATTGATTTTTTAAAATTTAACTAATGCAAATTAATGAAACTTAAATGCTTTCTATAAGCAAAGACCAAGTTTACTGTAATACATTTGGCTTTTAAAATTAAACATTTAGTTAAATCTTTCTTTGAATATTTAAATAACTTAATTGTCCCTTATTAGCAGTTGACTTGTTTTTTAATAAATAACCAAATAATGGATTTCTTTCTATGGTAAAACTGTTTCACAAACATTTTTTATTTAATTTTTTATGTAATAAATCATGGGAATAAATCATTTGATGTAATAATTTTTGAGGCCCATTTGATTTCAAAAGTATCTTTAATTATTCTAACATCTTAGAGACAATTTTTCTAACAGACCAATAAGGAGGTTTCTCAAGAATGAAAGAACTGAAATAAGGAACTTGAATTTAAAAAAAAAATTAAAAATGAAATAAAAGAAATAAATTACAAATTTAAGAGTTAAAAATTATATTGAAAAGTTTGAAAGAAAGCAATGCTTCTTAGAGACATTAGTCATTCTGTCTTAATTTAAATAATAATCATCATACAAAGAATGGTCTGTGCTTAACTCCAAAGCAATATGTGCAACAAAAAAAAAATTACTTGCTCTTGTGGAAATTAATGCTCGAGAGCTTATTTACAAGAGCAAATGTTTATTTCTACACGAACTTGTCATAGATATGCTCATGAGTAGACAGCGGATAATATGCAATTGCATACGTGCATATGCAATTGCATATTTTAGCACTTTTTGCCATTTGTGCATATAAATGCATAAAAAGGTATATTTGCTCTTATAAATGCATATTTTCAGCATTTTATGGCTTTTCCCTCCTAAAACCATATCACTATTCTTTTTATGTTAGCATAAGGAATGCTTTAAATTTTGTTTTTTCGTTCTTTATCACCTGAAAGGGTCAGCTGGATTGATGTTGCTGAGGGTGAAAAAGATGCAGAAATGAGGTGTGTGTCGGGAAGGGGGGTACAAAGGGCCCACCCAACAGACATTCGTCATAGAAACCTCAGAAAGATATTCTATGAAGGGATGTCTTTTCCTGGAATAAATAATTGTCAATCTGTGTTAGAAAAATATGGCTTCTGTGGTAGGTAGAAAGTGACCTCTCTTTCCTGTGATTGATTAGTTAAAAGGTGGAGTGAATAAATTTTCGGAGAGAGCTGCTATTCTAACATATTTCGATAGTCCATCCGATACATAGATAGTTTCGACATCCATCAGTTGAATACGTAGTTAGTGAAGCTTCGAATGTGATTTTTGACTGCTGAATTTTATAATATGCCAAAAATTAAGTCGACTAAATCAAATTTAATGAAGACATGGATTTCGGACTATGGGAAGAACTTTACGACCGATGGGGAAATAGTATTTTGTGTGATTTGTCAAAAACACATTTCCTGTGAAAAAAAGTACCAAATCGATCAACATATAAAGACTAATGCTCACTCCTCGAAGAAAAAGCAGAATACAAAAGAATTTGTTCAAAGTTTATTAACTATTCCTGTTCAAGCAGCTGAAAAGGAAAGTGATTTTTCTAGTGATTTATGCAAAGCCTTAGTAAGCAGCAATATTCCTTTAAAAAAGTTAAATAATCCAAACTTAAGACAGTTTTTAAAAAAATATTGCACCAATCAGGTCATTCCCGATGAATCGACTTTAAGAAAGAACTACCTTCAACCGATATATAACGAAGTACTGGATGATGTTCGACGAGATATTGGAGATGGCCCTATATGGATTGAAGTATACGACAGATAAGTGCGGTCGCTTTATTGCTCATTTTATTTGTGGAAAAATGGATAATATTCCTACTCGACCACATCTTCTAGCAAGCAAAGTCCTTGAAAAAGTCAATCATTCAACCATAACAAGGTTTGGCAATGATTCTATCAGATTATTATGGCCTGATAGAGATGGTTCTGAAGATGTTTTGATTTTTGTAAGTGATGCCGCTCCGTATATGGTCAAATCTGCAGCAGCAATGGAAATTTTTTATCCCAGAATGCTTCATATTACATGTTTGGCTCATGCTGTTCACAGACTGGCTGAGACTTTTCGAGAAGTATTCTCCTCTGTGAATGATTTAATTTCTAGTATCAAGAAAGTTTTTCTCAAGGCACCTGTGCGCATAAAATTGTATAAAGAAATGTATCCTGATTTGCCCTTACCTCCACAGCCTGTGATAACTAGGTGGGGTACATGGATTGAAGCTGCACGTTTTTACGCTAATAATTTTGATGCAATAAAGTCAGTTGTAGATGCAATTGACAGTTCCTGTGCTTCTTCAGTTTATGTCACAAAATAATTACTACAGGATATCTCTTTGCAGAAGGACTTGGCCATAATTGACACTCACTTTTCTTTCTTAAGTGGAGCAATAACAAAGCTCGAAACACGAGGTCTTCCGAACTCGAATGAGGCCATATCCGGCCATGAATTCTCGACTGAGGCCATATCCGAAATTGAAAAAATTCAACAGTGCATCAATGCTCTTTCAGACTCAGTTGGGAAGAAAGTAAAAGAAAAATGGTGTTTCGTTCAAAACAAAAATTCGGGTTTTGCAGCAGTGAAGAAGATAAATGCTTTTCTTAATGGAAACGGAACTGAAGTTCCAGAGAAAGTAAAACCAATGAGTACAAAATTGTACAAACAAGTTTTGTCCAATAACATCGGTTGACGTGGAGAGGTCATTTTCTGCTTTCAAAATGATCTTTGATAACCGACGACATCAATTCACCTTTGAAAATTTGGAAAACACTTAATTGTGTATTGCAACAAAAATTATTCAGTTTAATAAAATCTTTCCGGAAAATGCGATGATTTTTCTTCTCTCATTTATCATACTTCAGTTTTAGGCTTTTTCTTCAGAAATGTGTAGATTCAAGTAAGAAATATTTTGATTTTCTTCCTTTTAACAAAAAAAATGTTTTAGCTGTGTTTGTTGGAAAAAGTAAGTAGTAGTATTTAAATAAGTTGAGCTTTTAATATCTATTTTAAATGCATATTTCTAGTTTTAAGAGCCCAATATATTCAAGTTTATTAGTGCATATTTCCATGCATATTTTGTCTGTTTTTTAGTGCATATAATCCGCTGTCTACTCATGAGGAATGAACTGTAAATTCTTTATAACAGTAAAATGTTTCATGTTCATGAAAGATTACCTAACTCTAAATTTAATTCACTACTTGTTATTTAACATTATCATTGAATTTATCAAAGAATTAACATTATCAATGGATTTTTTCCCGTTCTCTTACATTTTTTTCTTAACGTTATTGCTTTTTGATTTGAAATTCTGAAGTTTAATCAAAATTGAAAGTATACAGCATTTTTTAATGATAATTGTTTTTGTAAATTAATATTAACTCTTGACTTTCAAAAAAAAAAATGTTTTAAAAAAACAAAATAGGCTACTGTTTAATTTTTAAAAAAAAAATTTTTTTTCTCTCTTTTATCATTTCAGAAGATCATATTTGTCATCTAAATAAGTGCTCTACTTCAGCTATTAATAACTTGCTCAGCGTTGTCATTGATTTGGAGTGTATATATACTATGTTAGAGAGGAAAAAAGGAGACGACACTACTTTACATGTTTACCAAGTAGTGTGCAAAGTAAGTTATACGGATAAATATTTTAATTTTATAAAACTTCTGCAAACCATTTATTTTGGTTATTATGGCTTATGTACAATTTTTATGCCTACCAAACTGTTTATACAGTAGGTAACCAATTATCCGGAAAGGTCGGGACAATCGCTATTCCGGATAACTGATTTTTACGGTTTTCTGAATCGCTACAAAAAGCCATTTTTTTTATTGTTAAACCCAACTTAAAAAAAAGAAAATTGGAAATAATCTTAAAACTAAGAAAAAACGATGAAGTAATACACTAATGATTATTTCCAAAATGATGGTAAGGTAAACATCTTTAAAAAAAGAAAGAAAAATCGTAAAATCTTATGAGGAAAAAAAAATGTTTTTTTTTTAAATGGCGAGAAAATTTATCGAATTTCGTTCCGGTTTTTTGGTTTTCCGGTTTTCTGATTTCCGGATAACGGGTTCTGTACTGTATAATTATTAACAGGGTATCCGCACACCTGGAAAGTCATGAATTTCAGTATTGAACAAAATTTGTCAGGAAATGTCATGATTTTAACTATTTGTTTTTTAAAAAATCATGAAAAGTCATGGATTTAGGTCACTGAAAAATCTAATTTCTAAAATGGACTTATCCCCTTTCCCAATTTCATGGTGTTTCGAATATCTCAATTTATAACAAAATCCCCACTCACAGTCATATTTGATTAAAATATAAAATGTTTTTATCGTGTTCTTTAAAAATTATGGTGTTCTTTCAAAAAATGAAGGAAAAAACATCATTTCTAGAGCGAATTATCTTTTAAACTTCTGTGATTTCAGAATTTTTGTAATTATTATTTTTATTTTATTTTATCAATTTAAAATTTTAGCTGAAGCATGTCAGTCATTGGCGAAATTTTTTATTCTGAAATGAAAACAGAAAAATCAGGAGTATTTCTTTCTTTTCCGATGAACAAGAAAAGTATCTTTAGAATGCAATTCTGCAGAAAAAAAAGAGAGAAAAATTTTTTTGTTTTTGTATTTTTTTTAACTATTTTATTGCTTCAACTCTTTCTGTAGTCTGTTTTTTAAATTTAAAATCTATAAATATGAAGATGCAAAGTATAACAGTTTTGGTTATATTCAGTGGATGTTATTATAATGCTTTTTTAAATTTATTGTTGGGTTTTTGTCGGAAAAAATAATAATTTCGTTAAGTCATGAGAAATTCTTGGAATTAGTCATAAAAAGTCATGAATTTGAAAATCTAAAATTTGGCAGATACCCTGCATTAATTTCATTTTTAATTATTATTGTATTTTAACCATTAATAACACCATAAGTTTTTCTGGATTTCATACAATAATATATTTCTTTCAAAACTACAAAAACTACATATATTTTAAAATCTGAATGTGATCGTTATTTGGATTTAAAAGTGAGCTTACCTTTTTGGTGTGTTTTATATATTTTGCAATGATCTAATGAAACATGTCTGTAAGAAGAATCCTGAAGAAAAGGAATGATTGTAGAAAATATCTACAACTTTAATTTAACTATCACATGGAGCTTACACCAAAATATAAAATTTTTACCTCCTGGATCAACTATTGATTGAGACTCTTACACATTTGATTAGTATTAGTCTGCAGAAAAACCTTTTACTTTATTCTTACTCGAAAAAAATTTCTTAAGTGTATTAAAATTTATTTTAATGTTCGCATTAGTAAATAATAACAGCATATCAGGCTTTGAGATTCATTAAATGCAATCAACAGCAGAGCTAGGTTATGGTCAAGTTGGGCATAGGGCCTGAATTTCAATTTAGTGCTCTCTATAAAAATGTGCAATTTTTATTTTTAAAAGTTTAAATTAAAAAAGTTACACTTTTTTAAAAAAAATTCCAAAATGTTAGCAAAACCTGTATGAAGTTTTAAAATATTACATTTTCAAACCTTAGACACTATGCCTTCTAAACACTATACTAATAGCATTTTTTGAATCTTTAAGACACTTTTCTTAAGTGCCTTTTTAAGACACTGGGCCTAGGCCCTTTAGGCCATGCTATACAATAAAGCTCTGTCAGCATATGAATGTAATACGTATAAAGTACTGTGAAATTAATAAGTTTATAAAACTGTAACTCGGCACTGATATTTGGTGTATACTTCAGTTTAACTGACAATTCTAAAATATACATCATTCCACCATGTCTGTGATCATATGTCACAATAACAACCAAAAAGTTTGCAAATTCTGCGATTGCCTATTCCTATAGCTATACGGACAATTCATAATTATTTAATTTGTTCAATGGCATGAAAAAAGTTTTTTTTTTGTCTTACCTATAATATATATATATATATATATAATTATTTTTATCATAATTATTCTAAACTATTTTGACTCTTTTTCTCACCAAATAAACTATTAGTAGTTGTTTGTTTTTGTTTGCTGGATTATTATCAGTACTTGTAATAGTACTTGATAAGGAAATGGACTAAATGCTTCTACAATTTCCAGATTCTAAGAAAGAGTATACATCAGAGGGTTGAACCCAAATTTGGTGGAATTCTTGGTGAACCTCCATTTGATATGATCACAATAGCAATGGTCAGTATAATGGATTTCATGGTGTTCATTACTCTGCATCTGATTAAAAAAATTTCTAAAGTAGGCATTTAAAAATAGGGTTTAAGTAAGAAATATTTTGATTTTCTTCCTTTTAACAAAAAAATGTTTTAGCTGTGTTTGTTGGAAAAAGTAAGTAGTAGTATGTATNATATATATGTATATATATATATATGTATATATATATATATATAAAACAAGTTAGCATCACACAATTATTTGGAGATATATAAATAATAAAAAAAATTTGACTCATGTCAAACTTTAAAATGATCTCATACACTTTGAAATTAAGTTGTAAAGTATTCTTGAAATAGCAATCAAAAATAACATTTTATTCTATTGGAATAACAACTGAGATATTAATCATACACTGTAAACTAAAACAAAATATTTTATTAATTCACTTATTTAAAATTTTTAATTTAATGAATATGCATATTATTTTTATAAATAGTTTCTACTAAGTGTCAACTATTAAATGCTAATGGTACCATACACTTAACATCTGATTTGTAAAATAAATAAATTAAATAAAAATTATAATAAGGAGATGAACCCTAGCTAGACGTGTTTTTTGAGTTAAGGGTACCACGATTTCGTGACGAATTACGATAGTTAGTTATTTTTGTGTTGTAACAAACAGAATCATGTTACCATTAAAAAAGACTGTAACATGTAACGGAGTTTGCGGTTTTCAATTTTATATGCAATTATAGTATATTTACAGCTGGTAAGATCCTCTTTTTTTTTTTGACATACACTAAAAAATATATACCCATATCTTAAAACTAATCATGTTTGGTTTATTATATAAATAAATATCTATGTTGTTAGATTTTGTTTTTCAATTTATTTTAGGCAATGCGAACATTCATTCTCTCTAAATTTTCAAGTTTGAAATCTGAAAATGATTTTCAATTCAAGTATAAGTGTGCTCAGATTTTATTGCATTACTTTGACACGTTCAAAATGTTAGATGAGACAGGTTTTAAGGATCAATTTCCTGATGGTAACAGTGATGCTTACAAGTTTGAATATGCTAGGTAAGTAAAGATATGAAAATTATATATTGATTCATTGAGTGCCTGATACAATGTGTACTATCATAACTAAAAACTATCATAATAGCCCCACTAAAAGTCTTATTGATTGATTAATTTATTTATCGTATCTAATGCTTTCGCTTTTCAGCAACTAGTATTAGAAACCTGTTATTGTGAACTTATTTAATTAATAGAATAATTCAACCTTATGTTCAGTAGTTCCCAAATGGTGCTCTGGCGAACCCTAGGGTTCCGTGAGATAGTACTTTTTTTTAAAACTGAAAAGGATTTTTTGAAAACTGTAATAGGCTTGTATTCAACCAATAATCTATTATTTATATAATATAGCCTCTACAGACTTGAAAATTCAACATCCTTAATAAAACTTAATTTTAAGATTTATTAGTGAACAAGAAGTTTCATTCTCATAAAATGGTTCAGAATTTTTTTAAGTTTTTTTTCTGTTAATATTTTTTTGTTTTTTTCTTACATATTTACCCCTGCTAATGAACCTTTTTAAAAAGTCTAGGTTCCACCAAAAAATTTTTGATGCTTTAGATTTCTGTGGCCGAAAGAAATTGGGAGCGGCTACTTTAGTTTACTATTTCCACAAAATATAAAGAAACTACTTACATTATAATAATATTATTTTTAAATTAGCTTCCTAAAATTTTTACTCACAATTCCTCTAATCTTTCTTTTTAAATTATATTTCTTCCTTTTTTTTTAAATTTTTTATTTTTTGATATTATTTTAAACTAATGATAGTACAAATTTAGTCTACTACTGATATTATCTTGCAAGTAAAAATGTATACAATTAATTGCAATTTTAATATTTTTTGTTAAATAATTTATAAGATTATAGCATTTTTTTTAGATAAGGAAACTGTCATTCTTTTTTAAATTGAGAAGTGCAAAATTGTATTGATTGATTTTCATAAAGATCACCTTAAAAAAAATTTTTAAATAAAATATAGGCCACCTGATTCCAAGGCAAGGCAAGTGCGTTATATTGTCAGGGAGGAAATAATATTAAAAGGGAAAAAAATATTTATAAGCCATAAAATTATTTCAAAACTTTTTTATTAATGATTTTTAATGTGTAATTTGAAAATTTAACCTTGTTTTCATTATAATAGTATTTGACTACTTAATTTTGTCGAAATTATTTCAAGCATTTGCTGATATTTGTTAATTTTTACATTAAATACAAAATAGTATTTTTTAAAATTTGTTTTAAATGCTGGATATTATCTTTTAAATAGTAACAATTCTTTGATTGTTTTTAGATGGATGTGCTACTGTGTTCTCCCGAAATATTTTGATAGTCTTCAATATTGCAGTTTTGTGGAAGCTTTTGGCCTGTCAGTTTTGAGGCCCATTTATCCTTATTTTAAGGATATTGTTAACAAAAAAATATCTTTAGAGAAAATGGAAACCAAAATTTTGGAAGAAGTATCTGGGTAAGCTTTTTGACTCTCAGTTTTCTATTGTTAAATATATTTGTGTTAATTATAGTTTATTAATAATCATTTCTTATTAAGCATTAAATATGAAAAGACTGTTTTTTTTATTCACAATATTTAGTTAAGCTGTTGTTGGGTTTGGTTATTCAATTTTACAAGGAATGAAATTAAACATAATTTATAATTCATTGTAATTCATTTGTATTGTTTCTAACACATTTTTAGCACCGCAAATTTTTTATTTTTTATTCATTACTGACTTACTTTTCTTTTGTGTAAGATGCTTTACACAGCATAAAAAATATATTTTCTTACTATGCAAAGATTTAAAGATTCTTATATGCAATTTTAAAGGTATTTCTAAAAAAAAAAATTTAAGGTGAGGAAAACCTTATAGTTGTTTTTTTAGTCTACAATTGATTGTTTTAAGAAGTGTTCTTCTAATGGGCATTTAGGCTACATAAGGATGTTTTTTCCTTTCTGATTTTTATTTAAGTAGCATGAAATGCATGTGGATTTAATTTTCATGACATATGCAAGTGGCATGTTAATTTTCTAAGGTTATAAATTTTTTCCATCACTGATCAACCACAAAAGGTGAAGTATATATGAAAAACATTTATAAAGAATGTAGCAATACATATCAAGTGTATAATTCTTCATTAAAAGATTCTCAATTTCATTCCCTGAACACTGTATTTCCTGTTATTTTTCTTTTTTAAAGTGCTGAATATCATTTTATTTATTTTAAATATATTTAGGGTCATTTTCTTATTTTAACTCTGAAGTTTTCTTTTTAGTTTCAAACAAAATAAAAAAGGTCAAAAATATTTAACATTTTTTATTCTGCTACATAGTACTATACCAGTTCTTCCTTTAGTGTGAGTAACATAGATAAATTTTACTGTAATGATTATATAACCGCTTACAAAATATATTTCCTGCATATGTTAATTTTTTTTGTTATTTTCTGTACCACATTTATTTTATTTTTAATAAAAAAATTTCTTTTCCGTCTAGAATATTTGAAATGTTTTCATCGGAGGTAGAAAATGAAAACTCTCCAATCTGGCTTACTACTGATCCTCCTCTGAAAAATCATCTTGTGCCATTGGAAATGGTTCCTAAAACATATCAATCCATTTTTCGAGAACAAGGTGAGGATGTTGCCCTTTGCTCTACGTTTTTCATTTAACATCATACTTTTAAAGTGATTACAATCCTTTCTCATTTAATGTTTCTTTTATGAGGAAATTTAAAGTAATTTGATTATTTTATAACATTAAACAAGTTTTTCTACAAATGAAAAATAAATTAATTAATCTAAGATGTTTATGTTAAACATGTAACTATAAATGTATCTAGCTAGATAATTAGCCAAAACTAAGTGAAAAATATCTGTTAAACATTACTTTTTACAATGGCTAATAACAGTTTCAATTTACCGGTCATAACAACAAAGGTTAGTTGAAATCCTTGAATACAATTCGCGTTTGAACAGAAAAATAATAAGTTTTTACTTTTCTCAGACATTGTTATTACTTGCAATTCCAATAAATTTCTCACTATTGTTTATCGGATACTATTTGTGGTTTCACTGCCCTTTTTATACCCTTTCATCCAATCCACTGAACCAAAAGATAGCTGCCTTGTGCGCACTACTTTGCTATGCATCTAAAATTTGACCTCTTTTACCCTACAGCTATTGCTTAAGAATGCAGTTTTCCATCTAATATTTTTGGTTCTGTATATAGAAAATTAATATCGCAATCCACCGAACTCTTAAATTTGAATTTTATCAATATGATTGTTTTATCTTATTATCCAAAAATCAGTTCTGAAATTTCTAAGACTTTGAGCAAATTTAAGTTTAAACTCATTTTATCCACTAAAAATAAACTAAATCTCATCATTATTAAAGAACCTATTGCTGATATTTTTTCGCTGGGGTATTTGTTAAATTTCGTGTCAATGTGGTATTGCGTATATTGCACAAACTAAATGTACCCTTAAACTTCTACTTAAGAAACAAGAGAGATATGTTCAAAATCAAGACACAAACTGATCTTCCATTGCTCTAATTCTTGGAATTCTAATCACAGGTTTGAATTTTTTTCTTCTAAAATCACTCATCAACTGAACTTGATTTTTGGGAGTCATTCCGTATTTTTGAAAAATTCTAAAAATTCAGTTAATCATTTTTCTAGTATCCCACCGTTTCCCAATTTTAGGAATCCTGTTCTAATTTAAACTGATGTACTCCGCGTTTCCCATCTCACTCCTGTTTCATATCTCCCCCCTTTTTTTCTTTCTTTTTTTTGTTCACTCTTGTTTTCCTGTCCTTATTGGTTAAACCAGTTTGCACGTCTTTTCATCTTACTTTTCTACCCTTATTTAGTGTTTAAACACTGAGGAAGGCTCTTGTGTATGGAACCGAAACTAAAATATGTCCATTTCTGTTCTTTCATTTGTGCATTATTCACGTTGTTTAATTGCTTTAGTTAAAATTATTCAATATTTTGAAAAATCTAAATTAGATTTAAAATGAGCACACTCTAATTCAGAGAAGCCACAGAACACAGAAAACAGAGAAAAATCAGGGAATTTTATCAATCTGGAAAAATCAGAGTTTAACTAAAGTAACCAAAAAGTCACAGAAAATGAATGAATGAATTGGAATTTTAGATACCTGAACTCCAATATTTTTTTTCAAAAAATTTTTTCTTTTAATAATATTTGTAAAACATTTGTCTATTTCCAACTCCAATAAGCGTTTTGGGAAAGTAAAGATACTTCACTGATAGCAGCAAAAGAAATGTTTGTGTGAGTCTATTTGTAATTCCAAATTAATTAATTGTAATTTAAAATTTAATTCCAATGGTTGTAAAAAAAAAATCGGGAATTTCAATAAAATCAGTCTGGAAAATGCAGGGTATTTTTTTTCTGAATGTTAATGGCCGCTATATGTGAACGCAGTAAAGTGTTGGAATAGTTATGACTTTTTAGATAAAAACGAATTAAGGCATATCTAGTATTATTATTGTATTTTATACATTTGTATTTATATCTTTGATTTGTATTTTTCATTTGTCCAATTCCAATATTTTTTAAATTCTTGAATGTTTAGTTGTCAAAGATGTGGGGCCAGTAAAGAAAAAACTGGCAACAACTGCACCTTTTTTGGATTGTGCCATACCCTCAGCTGGGCCAGATCTTCCAGGTAACTGTAACTGAACTTCTAAACATTTTATAACAATGTTGATTCCTTGCAATATGTTTTATCTTAAAATATTTAAGTATGATTCATATGCCGTGTAATTTTTTTTAATGTGAGAAAAATCTGAGGTTATTTACAAAATTCTTATTAAAGTGAAGCATCACTTCCGTAAAATTGGCCAAAGAGTCATTATATTGAGCATAAACTGAATTCACAACAACACATTTTAAAATTCTTCAGTCTCCAGAAAACAAAAGGAAAAATTTACATCACTTTCTTTGTAAATTCATAAATAAATACATTGGAAATAAATTGATTTCAATTGAAAATAAGTTAATATGATTAAACATTATAAAGACTACTTTCAAACATCAAAAATACTATCTATAATAATAAATAAGATATTATAAAGTTAACTATAGGTTTTAACAACACATATGGTGCATGTGTAATTCTGCTGTTTTCATCATTTACGTTTTTTTACTTTATGTTTAACTTTATGTCCTTTTTCATTACAATTTTAGATGGTGTTCCTGAAGATGTTGTCATAGAAGCCATGCATATTTTGAAAGACCCTGGTCATATGTATGGTCCTCGTGTAAGTTATATATTACACCAGGGAAACGTGCTTAGTTTTATGATTTAATTTTGATTTTGAGAATATTGTTATTTGTAAAAATGATAAGTAAATATAGTTAATTTTTCTTTATCAAAAAAGTATTGTTATTAGAAGTATTTTTTTCAAATATTGATGTTATAAAAGTGCCTATATTTTCGGAGATATTAAAATTCTTTTAACCTACTGAAATAGGTTACCCATGTTTGTGTATACCGATAAATACATTTCTATAACTTAATTAAATTAAATTATAATTTTATGTTTAATAAATGTGTGCTTAGTAATTACTTACATGTATGTTTAATAAATGACAAAATAAGTTTGATTCGTACTTTATTGAAATTATTTAGCTTATTTAACTGCTGATACAAATATTTATGGTTTATGTTGTCCATCTAACTATAGCTTCATCTAGCAGGTTTGAAGAACACTTAGGTTTCTCAATTTTGTTTTGCCCCTTAGTAACTTCCTTATCAGTAGGGTAATGTGTACTTGGTAGTGCAGTCGAATGTGATTAATTTCAATTTGTTATATTTGAAATTCTTGATAATTTGAGTTTTTTGCTGAGTCTAGGGATTTTTTTAAAATAAAAATTAGGCTAACAAATTATGATAATTGCAATTTTTGGCATAATTGCTTTTATGGTAAAAATTGTTTCTTAAATTATCTTTCTAAAGAAAACATAAATAAGATCTCCTTCCTACTGTCTTTACTGTTAATAAGTCGTCCAAAGCATGTGTGAAGGCCTTTGAGAAAAAACTTGGACGCATCCCTTTAGCAGGAGAATCTGTTTCACCTAGGGTAGAAAAACAGGTTTTGTCCTAGTGTACAGCTATTCTTTTGGACTGTGAATGATTTTATGCTGAATTCTTGTGAATGATTTTATGCTGTTGTGAAACTTTGAGCTTTTGTGTTTGTGTTATAAACATTGTTTTTATGCTCCTACAGTGGTATTGTTAAAAGCTAAAACTTCTTATAAATCACTAGAATTAATTGGAAATGTAGTGGTGATTAAGGAAGTGAAAAAATGCTTTAAAGAGAGACAGAAATCACTGAGGGGTTTGGAATTCTATAAAATGTGCTTTTGACATACTTAACAAAGATAAAATTTTCATTTAAAATTTGATTGTCAAGTTAAACTTTTATTTACTTATTTTATTAATGCGGGGTTGCCACAGACAACTAAAATGCAGCTATTTTATGACCTGAGACAACTGTGGCAACTTTTTTTTGCCTGAAAAGCCTAAAAAAGCAACTATTTTCAAGAAAAGGTGACTATTGGGAGACTTTTCTGTGCTCCTAGTGATCTTTTTTTTAAAACATAAATTGGATTGAAGACCCTGAACACAATGAATTTTTTTTTCTTAAAAAAATAAAAAATGTTGAATTGCAAATTCATTTTTTAATGCTCTCAATTTGCACAAATTCCATTGTAAGTCTATTTTGTTTCTCGATCGGCTTTTCAACAATAATTGCTACGAAACTCTGCACGATTTTAAGAAACCCAATCTTTATTACTATAGTAGGATGCAGAATTTCGAATTTGAGTAATCACTTCTCACAATATATAATATATANAAAAGTTTTTAGAAAAAAAATCTTTATTTTTTTATGAAAAAGTATTTTTTTTAATGAATTCTAGTTATTTTATTTAAGTTTCTGCAACTGTACTAATTTTTTTGATATAAAAATTTAGTGTTAGAGCACGAACCTTTATGTAAAAATTATATTTGCCACCAACTTGACTAAATGGATTATCGTATATGACAATTAAGTCATTTAATAATATTTTAGTCATACTTTTGTTCTTATTTAGGCAACTATTTTCATAGTTTTCGGCAACTATTTTACTGTTTTAGGCTACTAAAAGCAACTATTTTGTTAATTTTTTTCTGTGATAACCCTGTTTATGAGGTGTTTTGAAATTTTTCTTTCTAGACTTTTCAACTTCCAATTATCAAAGTCTTTTTTGTATCAGTAATGTAGTTTGTACTCTTTCATCAATTACTTAGAGGGTGGCATCATGCACTTTTAAATATGGCATCTTAAATATCTGATAAATATTTATATCTTTAATATGTCTTTTTAAATGTCTGTTATAATAAAATTAATGATTAGCTTAATAATAATATTATGTTTTTTAAGCAAAAGATTAAGTTTTTAGCATTATAAATAGAAGATTAAGTTTTTCACCATTATAATAAGTGCCCTAATATACTTAGACTAGTACGTGAATAAAGAATATTTGGAAATTGCAACTGAAGAACTCCATTCTAAAACTACGAGAAAATTGGAATTAATAAAATCTATTCAAAATAAATTATTTAGGTGCTAGAAACATTACAACCTGTTTCCCTTTTTACCAGGAATGGTTGGTTTCAAGCTTATATGTTATGTTTAAATAAAAGTTAAGCTCTAAATTTAAAATTAAAAACGTGTATTCTAAAATTAAACTTGATTTTAAAAAACATTTGATTTTTTTTTATTTGCAAATGTATTGAATTACTACTATGTGAAATATTTTTAAAAAATTCTTAATTAATAAACTATTTAAATTAATTTCAATACATTTTGCTTTTAGGATATATGGGATGATTCTCCCCGTGATTTAAAACCTCGAGAGCTCGAAAGAGAAGGAACTCTTGAAATTCACATTGTTGCTAATTCTGTAACTCATGATATAAGTGAAAAATGCAAGATATATCTTATTGGACTACAAAATCTGTTCTACCACCTTTTACCTCAGATACCAAAAGAATATATAGCTCGTTTTGTATTTGATACGTAAGTATTTTATTATAAGTAAATGTATTTATTACGGAAATGTATATAATTGTTATAGTCATCAAAAAGTAAAAATGTATGATATTTATAACTTAATAGATTCGTTTTATTATTATAAATAGAGTCACACATTACATATTTACTTGTGTATTATAAGTCCATCTCCTATTTTACACATCAAGATGGAAAATTTTGTACTTGACTCGTCACTTTAAATTTATTTATTGTGGAACTGGTAGTAATGGGCCATATAATTCACTTCTTAAAAACTTATGTTTCATATTTGTGATGTTCTAAGTGTCTAGTAGTACTGACACAAAAGTGGTATAGTTGGTTCTAAAAAGTTTTATACTGATTGCCTAAAAGCTTTTATTAGGTAATAAACATATTACTTTTTATTTGTTTTTTTTAACCTACTTATCAGGAAAATTTTAAGTTATGTGCGGTTTAATATCAAGATGTATTTAAAATAATACATCTTTAAATCAGTCTTAAGAAAAAATCAGTAGATTAAGTTTCATAAATTAATATCTATTTTCTATTTGTTTTTAATATTAAAACTTCTGTTCTTCCTTAAAAATTTAACAAATATTTTCTGTTAAATAAATGTAAGTATTAAATTTTAATTTGAACATTGTTACTTTTCATAATTATTGCAAAATGATTAAGTAATGATGTAGCTCAGCAATGAAAGAATGAGATTGATTGAACTTCAATGCCTGTCTGCTTAAGCAAAATTCGTACTATTGTATCTAAATTTTCTTGTTTTTTCCTCAACTTATTGAAATGCTATTCAAAGTTAAATTGATATTATTATTTTTTTTTTAATTTATAGAAATTGGAAGTAAGTAAATAATGAAGTGAGGAATAAGTTGAGATATGTATAGCTTTATAAAAAAAATTTTAGTTTATTATTCAGTGATTGATGTAAAAAGCTGTACAAAGTTAACTGTAAATAATTAATTCAATAATAAATAATTTAATATATGATCCATTATAATTGAAAGGTACAGTTTGAAGTTGATGAGTTATAAATTTCTAAAATTCTAGTTAACAACTGTAGAATATATTAATTGGTCAAAAAACTAAGTTCAGTCTTGAAATATTTTTAGAGTGGCACAAATGTGTCTGTCAAGAGAAAAATCTTTGAGGTCAAATGTATTTCTGGGTAAATTGACCCTTCGATTATTATTGTAATTTAATTGTTATAACTGAAAATTGCCACTTATTTATTTTAATTAAACATATTTTTTTACTAGAAAATAAAAAAAATTCTATATTTTAAATCATGGTTAATATAATATGATAGAAGGTATTGTTACCATTTTCAAAATTACAGCTTTATCATGTTTTGTTTTAGAATTGTAACGACTTCCAAATAAATATTTAAACAATATGACATACCATAACATTTCAAATTATGAACACCCACTTAATAAGTAAATTTAAATACTCATTTTTCAACTCATGAGAGTGTAGCTAAATTCTCTTTATTTCAGAGACACGACGCTGCTTATCTATAATACGCTAACTAAGCAGTAATTTTCTGTTAAATTAATCAATTTTGAAAAATATTTATTTCATTAAAATTAATATCTAAATTATAACTTATTAGTTTTGTAAAATATTCTCCTCAGTGTCAGTACACTATTTTACATATATTTTTGTATTTCAATATGATTACTTGGTTACTTAGCAATAGAGCTACAACAAATATTTTTCGTGTAGTACTTTATTATGTATTTTTATAATTCAATAGTACATTTTATGGAAAATTATTTTTATAATTTATTATTTTATTTTAAATTAACATTTTCTTCCATCTTTAATTATAGGAAGCATAGAAACTTAGCATTGGTATGCAAAGAGGATGTAATTGGTGGCATTTGTTTTCGGATGTTTCCTGAACAAGACTTTTCAGAAATTGTGTTTTGTGGTGTGTCCGTCAACAAGCAAGTCAGGGTAATTTTCTTATTATGTTTATGAAACATCTTTTAGTATGATTTTTTGCTTTTGTAATATCTTTTTTTTATCCAGTTAATTAAATTAAAATCTTACACTTAAGAAAAATATTTAAAGAACTTAACATTAAATGTATGCATTTTATTTTGTTTGTTTTGTCAAATAAAACCATTTGTTATACTAAATATCTATTTTCCAGGGTTATGGTACACACATGATGAATCACCTAAAGGATTACCACATAAAGCATAATGTTTTGCATTTTTTGACCTACGCAGATAATTATGCTGTAGAATACTTCAAGAAACAAGTGAGTTTTTTTAAAATCTTTTTTACAGTAATGCATGATTTTAAACGTTTCTGTAAAAGTCTCCTAGCGCTTAATATATTTAAATTTTTTGATTTGTTAATAGTAATTTGTATTTCTCACCATTATTTTTCCAGTTTTCATTGCCAAATTTATCTCTTATATTTCAAATCACTTTTGTTTCTTCTCATTCATGTGTGGCAAGTCTTAAAAATGGGTGTCTGTTTACATGTTGACTTTTATTTCCAATTTGTATATTTTTAAAGCAAATAAAGTTTTTAGGCAAGTAAATAGTAATATAGCTTCATCTGTTCTCTAAGAGTTACTGCAACGAAAATATCCGCTTATATATTCATGATTGTGCTAGGAATTTTTCCTTTTAACAGCTTTCTTTTGTTTAACCATGAGGCTTTTCGATTTAACTATACTTGCATGAAGTTGCACTGAATTTAAAAAAGTACCTACAAAATCAAAAGTTTTGCATACCCAGGCAATATGAGTTTCAAGTCCTGGTCCATTCCTTTGTCCACTTGTCCCGCAATGAACAATTCATAAAGACAAGCTTCCCAGTAGAACGCCGAAGTCAAGCATCTTTGGCTGCGGACCGTAAGCGAGTAGGTGACCGCTTTGATTAGTCTGCATACGGCCCAAGGGTGCATGGTATTAGTCCTCGTGTAACTGTTCTACCGTAAAATGTTTAAGGTCGTTGGGCTACCAAAGCGGAGGAGCCATTTGCAGAGAATCAAAAATTAGGATGGCATGTCTTCACATCATCCTCAGGGATGTTTCCAAGGCCGTCACCATAGCTCATTGTTTATCTCTAGTGTGACAAAATTAAAATACCTTTGTCTACTTGCTGTATGAGAAACATCTATTAATTGTTTTAATTAACACTCAATCCTACATCATTGTTGATTCACTGGGAAATTTGTTTTTATGTCCGTAACAGTTGAACTACTACTTTTTCTTTCATTGCTAAAATTCATGATTGCTTGCAATAAATTTTTTAAGTGCAACTGAACTGAGAGAAAAAAAATTGTACATCTTACAAGAGTCTAGGCATGTTTGCTCTTAAAAAAGAAAACTCAAAGCTTTTTTGTACTACCAACTCATGCCCAACAAAAGTTCTGCATAAACTTACGAAAATGGCTTACTTTTGCGTATTCATCCTGTGTTTTCATTGTTTGAAGTATTTATTGGTTGAAGGAAAAAATTTCAGAAATGGTACACTAACGACATTAAAGAAAATCATGTGGAGACTTCGTTTTTTTTATTATAATACATGATTTTTGCATCCACAATCATATTTAGTGGCAACTACTATATTATATGAGCTTGCAGGAAAAAATCAATATTAATTTGATAACCACAGCTACTAAATATAGAAATGTATTCATTGCAAAAATTGTGTGTTCAAGGTTAAAACCGGTTTATATAGCATATGAGACATGGATCTGGCAACAGTTTAGCTTTTTAAATTTTATCAAAGTATCTCAGGTTTATGGTTCTTAAGATGTAACTTAGAAGATATAAACAAGAAAGAAGTTTGATTTTTCGACACTATAATAGTCAATCATTCTTTTAGCAAATCTATTTAACTTCAGGAACTAAATAATTTTTTCAAGAATTTTTGTATTAGATATGTCATACATTTCTAGTACAGATTTCGAAAGTCGCACAGTTTTGCAGTTTTTTCTGTCATTAAGTATCAGGATTTAATCTTAATTTTTTGTTTTTTAAATAGAAATCAAATTGTGAATTTCATGGCGTGATGGTTAATTTTTTTTCTGTTTTTCCTCATTTTAGGGATTCTCCAAAACTATTACTCTAGATAAAGAAATGTACTCTTGTTACATAAAAGAATATGATGGTGCTGAACTCATGGAATGTAGACTTGATCCTAAGATAAAATATGTAGATTTATCTAATGTTCTTAAAGTACAAAAGGAGGTAAGAATCGCCTGACTTCGTTGAGTTTTTTGTTAATTTTATCAAAAAGTTAATTTTTGAAATTCTCTTATGAATTAGCACTTGCTGCATTGAAAATATATTCTCAATGAATTGCATAGTTTATGTCGTTTTTTACAAGTGCCATTCCGAATAAGTTTTAGTTTTGACTTTTCCTTTTTAACATAATTCATTGTTATATTATATGTTTTCCTTATTTCTTTAATCACTGTTTTTTAAAAGCTTTGTTTGAAAAATAATAAGAAATGTGAATATTTGGTACTTTCAGAAATGTTTTAGCATCCGTTCAAAGTTTTCTGTTTAGCTATGTTAATTTTAAATAACAGAAAGCTGTAGAAATTTATTAAAGTAATGTAAAAATTTCTTTTGATTGCTTGTTGTTAGACCAAAAGTTGGATAAAACATTAAACATTATGCGAAATATAAATAAATTTAATGAAATATTTTAAATAAATGTATTTTATATAATGTTTTCTTGAACTCTCAATGACCATTTCTTAACTCATGATTTATTATTTTATTTTATGACCATAGCCCATTTCTTCTTCAAAGTATGTTTAAAATAGTATCTTTAAAACATTAAAAATATTCTTAAATTTATCAAAAAATTTCTTTAAAAAATTTCCATAACGATTAAAAAGGAATTTCAGTTCAAACAATATTTCTCTACCAAAATAACATTATATTATCTATCATTATATTGAGAGTAATAAAAATTATTATTGAATACCAAACCAAGACTTGAACTTAAGATTATCACCATTCCAATGACTCAAAATTGTTATATATGAGACACATTTTTACTTGTTTTTAAAAAATCATGAAAAATAAAGAATATAATGAACTTAATTACGCTGGTGTGTTTTTAACCATCTTTAAAGATTAACTAATACCCGAATAAAGAGCTCACTTTCATTTAATTTTGTATAATTATTTAGTGAACCCAAGAAAAAAAATTTTAAACTTATTAATCACTGTGAAACACAAATCCACAGATCACAACATAATCATAAAAGTTTAAGTGAAATCTATCTATATTATATCTATATTATTTTTTGTGTTTTTAAACTAGATAATAAAATTTCTCATTCGAAAAGAAAGAGATTCTGATCCACTGGTACGACCTGGGATTTGTTATTTCGATCAGGGAGTTCAACAAATTCCTATTGAAACTATACCTGGAGTTAGTAAGTTGAAATTTTTAGATAATATGTTTTTGTTGCATTAGCTAAATTTGCATTTTTAATACCATGTGATTGAAGAAGTTTGTGCCATATTTGAAACAAAATTAAACGCAGCACATTTTCAAGAAAAATATTCTTCATTTTTAATGTATATTTATGCTGTAATTATATTCATTATTATGACTTAATATATAATATTTAATTATTTACAATTCATTTTCTAAAACTGCCTTTTTGTTCATGAATTTATCCATTTAGGAATGTCTTATTTTTTTGAAACTGAGCCTTTTTTATTATCAAAAAAAGCTATAGGGAGGAATTGGATTCCTATCACAGTTTTTTTTTGCATTCAAATTATATTACTGAAAACAGAGCTACAAAATTCTGAATTTACACTGTCTGGTGAATAGGAAAGATTTTTCTTTTTAGCATTTTAATAATCCTTTTAGTGACTTATGCAGGGCTCCAAACTGATCTTCTTTTTCCACCAAAGTCCATTTTTTAGTATTAAATCCATTTTAGTCTTCTTTTGAATGATTTGAAAATTATTTTACGGAAGTGTTTCCTTGTAATTGAGAAAGAACGTTTACATCTCTCCTCTTAATTCATTTTGTTTGAAAGCCAATGATGTTTACGTTAGTATAGTTGTATTTATAGATCAGTACTACAAATATCCTTGAACCTGGAAATCATTCACTAATTAAGATTGATGCGAATTTAGAAAAGTCAATGACAACGGAGCTTCATCACTTCAAAAATTTTGTCATCCTTTTATATGCTTGGGTTAATAAAGATGAGGTCAGAGGTGCTACTTAATCCATAGAACTCTTTTTCTTTTCTTTTTTTTTTTAACGTAAGAGTTAATTAACGATTCTAAAATTGAAAATATTTAGTAATTTGAAAGATCTCCCTCAAAGTGCACAAAAGTGATAGAAGTATCTTATATAATTTACCCCATTTGTTGTCTCAATAGTTTGAAGACTCTTGAATTCTATTATATATAATACGTAGAACTTAAAAATAAATTCTTTTATAAGGGTGAATTATAACTTATATATACTTTACTATTTTTAAAAGAAGAAAACAAATGTTGTTGCATGATTAAGATTAGTTGTTTTAAAAATTCTGAATTCTATTTAAAATTATTTTAATTACATTAACTATTCATTAATTACAAAATTTTTAAAATTATAAACTGAAGGATGGTTCTTATTTTTAATATTAGGTTCTGATTATAAAGTATTAAGCAAATTACATTTATGAAAAAGAATTTTTAATTTAATTTATATTTTTTTGCTAGGATAATTCTTTCAAATAGTAATTTTTATTATTGTTAAATTGGTAATTTGAAAATATATTTCTTCATTTCTATGTAAAATTCTGCTTTTTTTTTCAAAACTTTTGTTGCATATCTATGTATATGTAGTTTTGTGTGTAAGATTTATATGTAGTTCTAAAGTCGCGAAGTTTGAATCCTAGGGAATGTTTGCCAACTGAACAAAATATTAAAGCATGTTATTTTTCTAAATGGAATTGTGGTTTTAAAAATTTTCAATACTCTTGTATTCTTTTATAAAGGGAAAAAATGCTCATGATTTTCATAACCGTGAGATTTATAACGAGTAAGAATCAAAGGGTCCTTCACATATCTAATGCGCATTCTTAACAAATGCAATTTAAAATTAAGTTCCTAGTTTTTCCTATTAGTCTTCATTATTTAAGAATGTGAAATAATGTTGCATAGTATTTTATTTTCTGGCCATAGTGATATTATTTTAACAAGACATGAATACCGGGGTAATTCACTCTTTTTTTTATAGTAGTTTTGATATGCCACAAATCATATTCGTTTTGGAAGTGGTATCTTCTTTTTATGGTAAAAAAAACATATCCGTTTTGGAAGTGGTATCTTCTTTTTATGGTAAAAAAACATATCCGTTTTGGAAGTGGTATCTTCTTTTTATGTTAAAAAAACATATCCGTTTTGGAAGTGGTATCTTCTTTTTATGGTAAAAAAAAACATAGCCGTTTTGGAAATGGTATCTTCTTTTTATGGTAAAAAAAAACATATCCATTTTGAAAGTGGTGTCTTTTTATGGTAAAAAAAAACATATCCGTTTTGGAAGTAGTATCTTCTTTTTATGGTAAAAAAAAACATATCCATTTTGGAAGTGGTATCTTAGTAAAAAAAATTTAAACATATATGCAGCACAAAAGGAAATTTTCAGTAGTCTTGTATGTATTTAAAATGTCTTGATTTTTTTGTAAAATATTGTCCTGATTTTTATATTGAGCTACCATGAAGCCTGTACTCTGTACTGGTTTGGTTTTATCATTTTGTTAAATAAATGTATTTACTAAAATAATTTTTAAATCTTACAGGTGGCTGTCTCAAAAAAGAAAGAAAACAGTACGTATTTCATAATTATTTAATTATATTTTCATTTTATGTTCTTATTTTCATCAATTCGTTTGAGAATAAACTTCTATCAGTAAAAAAATGTTTTTAATAAAAATTTGCAAATTAATGTATTTTCCTTGACTGGGGAATAACTTAGTAAATTCTCATCCTATTTTTGTTAGTTTACTCATTAACTTTTTGCTACTCTATTTCTGTTAGAATTAGTTTTTAGTACTATTCAATTTTGGTACTTAGAATGTCTATCATCAGTTTCTTACTTTGAGTTTGGAATAAAATGTGTACCTAGATCTTGTGTGGTTAAACTCTTCATTTAATTAATCCAATTGCCAATTTTATTTACATTGAAAAAATATTTAATATTTTCTACATATTTATATTAAACCCTTTAGGTGTTAGTCCCAGCTGTTCTCAAATTTTAATCTAGTGTCTTTCATTAAACCAGAAACTATTTTTTACTTGTAATTAAGTAACAAAAAAAATATGTAGTCATTAGGGGGAAAATTCGGTACAATTTTTCGTACAGCCATCAGAAAGTTTAAACTTTTGTAGACTATTAATGCAAATTTTAACATTCTAAATTATTCATCTTGAATTTTTTATAGTTGAAGTGTGTGTGTATGTTGAAATATATATATTATATTATATACAATAACAAAGACAAAAAATAATAGAAAGAAAAACAAGAAAATTACGAACATTAATAAATATTACTTATTTCTCATAAGCTGCAAGTATATACTCATAAAATAATAAAATAAATTGAAAACGTAAAGAAAACATGGAAAGAAGGAAATGAAAAGAGGAAAAGAAATAAAAATTATTAAAAGAAAGTATTAAATATATATATATATATATATATCCTCAGTAATTTTAGCATAGAATTTACATATGTTTGCTGACATGTTTTGATGAATCTCGTGTACATTTGGGAAGCTGGAAAAATAATTAAAATAAGAAAAATTTCATTTCTGTTTACCCTACAATTTATGTCTATGCCCATCAGTTAAGATTGAGTGAGCCAAATTTAATAATAATTTGTGTTATTTCAGTTACCTTAATTTTACTAAAAACCAGAGATATATTGCTTCATTTGTTCAACGATTCATTAATGTAGAATCCTTAGTATTAAAAATCTTTTCTTTTGAATAAATGCACTAAATGTTAAAATATTTAAAATTTGTTCTAATTAATTTATAGTAATTAAATTAATCTTAATTTCAAGGAAGACATTTTTTTGTTGACTGAATTAAAGTATGATTTCCAATGCAATTGTAATTGTAGCAAAATGCTTGCCTAACAAAGTTTGACAGAAGTGAATAAATTTTGTAAATTTTTGTTTGTTTCATCATTTTCAGCTAATTCCTTGTAAATAATAAATCAGTTATAGTTTGTTCAATAAAAAACTGTTGTTTATTGCTATAAAAAATGTTTCCTCTTTTATACTACTCTGCTAATTTTGATTTTAATGTTTTTCCTTTTACTTATTCTAGTTTTTTTTATAAATTTGTAAATGCAATATCGTAAACTGAAAATTTTTGGTTATGATAGTTTAATTTTTTTCTTCAGAAATCTTAGTTAATTTTATTAATAGCTTTATTATTTATTTTACTTCGCTATTTTACAATAATAATTTGTATTCATCTTTTTAGTAAAAAGGATAGTGGTCTTTTCCAACAAATTTTGGAAACTAAACTTAGGAGAGTTTTCGATCAAGTTTCAGTAAGTATCTAAATTTATTTTTGTTAAGGGATCTAGAGGATTTTCCAACCAAAATTTCAGACTTTAAGTTTATAAAAAAAAATTATTACATGTTTTTATTGAGCAATTTATCACTTAGTATAAGATAAAGCTCAAAAAAACTTAAGTTGTTGCAAAAATACTGAATAATATTCACTTCCCTTCTCTAATCTGTAATTGTCTACAGACTCAATTTTTAATTTTAAAGTTTTGTCTAATCAGTTTTTTCTCAAATCCTTGAACTTGTGTGAAATATTTTTCAACATCTGATAAGCTTATTAACTTAAAATTTGGTAACTGTTTTAAGTATTGTATGTTGCTTAAATTCATACTGGCTTTTGAAGGTCTAGTACATATTTTAAATTTTCGTTTCTGGTTAAAATAAATTTTTTTATGTTTAAAAAACATTTATTTTTTTCTTTTAACTTCATAAAAATATTTAAATATATAAAATATATCAATTCATTTAACTAATATAGATTTTAAAATTGCATTTGTGACAGCCTGTAAAAGTTGCTTCTATTCACTTAACAAGTTTTTAATGCCAAATACACTGATAAATACACCAGAAGTGTATACATTTAAATAATGTCTGTACTCATGTTGATCAATATTAGGCAAAGCATAGAAATTGTATAAAATGTAGTTATATTTTCATTGAAATATGCTTACATTACATTCATTAAGACACAAAAAAAAATTTGTGTTTGAAAAATTATATTTTATTTAAAATATAAAATGGTATATGCACCATTCACCGAATTAATGAACAAACAATTTAGTTGAATGCTTGTTTATTTATGAAATTTGTTATGATAATTTTTTTATTTACTAACTTGCAATTTTAATCCATCGTAAAAGCATATGATAAATCTCAAATGGAATAAATATACATTTTCAAAAAATTTCGTTTGTCAATAACCGTTTTAAGTTAAAAAATTTCAATAGTTTGATTATGAAAAATTAAAAAAATTAGAATTCTCAACAGAAAGTGTTTATTCCAATTGAATTACTTATAATTTTTAAATGTCTTCAGAAACCTTGACAACAGCAGAAGAATGAAATTAGCGAAAAATATACGTCAAATTGTTAATAATTTATTTTTTATTGAAATGATGCCTTTGCGCACCTTTGACCGAAAATTCTGTAATTCTGGGTTAAATTCCTGTAAAAAAAAAAAAAAAATTTGAATCATAAGTCAAACTGTAAATAATATTTCTGTAGATAAACAAACTGTGGAAGTCGAATTTTTTCAATATTTTTTGATGAAATCTCAACCACCTAGACCACTTGCATAGTTTCGATATCTGAACTTGAAAGTTTATTTTTTGTAAAAAAAATCATAACCGGAACAACATTTTATTTTTAAACAGTCTAACATACTTTTCAAGATTGCTATCAATTTTAGTTCTTTTTAATTCTATCTAGATCTTGTATTCTCTCTAGACCAAAATTTTTTGAAAATTCTGCCTGGTAACTGAAAATTCTAGGTAAAAATCTTATGACATAAAAAGTATTTATTTTGAATTCAACATTTCTTTATATTGGAACATAACTCTTTAACATCCATTTATGATCATTCATTATTAACAGCATTCTTTTATGAGCATTTAAGCTACAATACATCAATACATACAAATGTATAATGCCATATTTACATAGATAAAAAAATAAAGCAATTTCTTTTTTCCGAAAGCTGATTCTGTTTTTCATTTTGCATTGATGTGATATTTTTACTTAATGGAAACTACTCATATTTTAATTTTTAAGCTTGCTACTAGCTAATTGATTTTGAAATTAAGAACAGTATCATTGTTCAACAACTGAAGCATTTTATCACATATCTTTTTAGACTCATACCTGTGCTTGGCCATTTCAAACTCTTGTGAAAAAACTTGCTTTTCCAGAGTATTATGACGTTGTGAAAAAACCCATTGGTAAGTTTTTTATTCGTCTGGTTTTATTAATCCCTGAAAAAAATAGTAGATTTTTTGAAGTTGTAATATTGCTACTCATTTTGAAGTGGCCAAGAATGTGACATTTATAACATGAAAAAAAACTTTTGATTGTAAGGGAAATGAACTATAAATACTTTAAAAATGTATGCATCTGTGTATATTTTTTCACTCATGCAGTTTAAATGTGTATCAAGTATTATAGATTTTGCTAACTGGAAAGGTTATGGATAAGAAATAAAAGTTAGAAGTTATCTTTATTTCCTCACATATTATGAATTTCCTATCGATAATTTAGGCAACAAGATTTCAGATTATTGGAATTTTATTAAATTTAAATTTTAAAACATATTAATTTAATTAGAATGTATAAACAAAGAATAGTGAACTTAAATCTATTTTCAAATGGTTTATCTTTTTTCTAGACCTTCAAGCGATTAAAGAAAAACTAGAGAGGCATTTTTATACATCAGGAGCACGTTTCCACGATGATATTACTTTGATGTTTAAGAACTGCCGTGCTTACCATCGAAATGAAACAGCTAGCTATAAGTGTTCCTGCGTCCTGGAAAAGTTTTATTTAGAAAAAATGAGGGAATATTGTTTACTATCCTTGTGAAAAGGAACTCTTGAAGGATTTTATATTGAATGTGTATTTCGTGTTAAAAATGTTTTTTTATGTATATTTTATCCTTATCAACCCCCTTCATCTTGTAAGGATTATGTCTTATGTTAAACTGGTGTACTTATATATTTCATTATATATTTCTTTCATTGTGCAATTAATGTGAATAAAATTCATTTATTAACTTTTAATGTTTTGTGGTGCCTTGTTTTTTTTTACAAATTCTATCCTGTTATGAAATAAGCACATGTGCATAAAATTGCTGCATTATATCTTAGCTGTTCTCCAAATTGTTCCAAAATGAAAAAAAGTTTAGAAAATTTTATCATTTTTCTTAAAAACAGGTATTTTTCAAAAAATTGCTCTAGATTTCCATCTAATTTTTTTCTTTCTAAAATGAGTAATTAGTAATTTTTCTTAGGATTTAATTATTGTTAAAATACTTATTTCTCAACATCTCCAAGTGTACAAAACTTTAACTCAAAAATTATTCGGAACACTAAATTTTCTCTGGAGTGTGTTAAAATTGTTCCAAAACATGAATAATCTTATAACGTCTGCAAAATTTTGTTTTTATAATTTTACAGTTGTTCAAATAAAATTATTTAATATCAATCTGATTTCTTTATTCTTATTTCAAAATTTAATAATTTTTTGTTTTAGTCTTTTGTTACTAAATTATTATTATTATTTTAACTGTGTTGCTTCTACTCTTTATATCTGTAAGCCTGTAGATAATTATTGCTTCTAATATTCAACCCGGTTTGATGGATTACAGGCCAGGTCTAAAATTCTGTTTACATTTAACAATTCAATCATAAGAATAGGAGAAAAAAATGCCTATTGTTTACTGATTGAATCAGGACCAACTTCATACTTAAATTCTCAAGTGTTTAAACTTTTATCTTTAATGCTGGGTGAACATGTAAAATTATAAATTCAGACATGTCATTTTGTTGAAAACTAATTTTTTTTTTCAATTCAAAAGACTATTTCCATTATGCTGAATTGGAAGTCAAAAAAAAGTATGTAAGTGTGATGCAATATTGTAATGTTCTTAAAATATGTAAAGAACCATTACTATTGCATCTGGTTTGGCTAAACTGATTGTATCACAGATGTATTACCTTGAGATGAGTTCGGGCCCACTTTTTGAGGTCCGAGATTGATAAGATTCCTATGTACCCCAATTTTGTTTGAAATTTGATGTGACATATAAATGCTAAAATATGCCCAGATTTAAAGCCAAAACTTGGGATTACCACTAAATTTTTTACATAATTTTATTCTTGAAACTGAACCTTATGGATTTTTAAATATTAGTTTCATTTAAAAAGAGAAAGGTATATATGAAATTTTATCATGAGCTTAAGGACTTTTTAAAGTAATGGACTCCTCTTATCTTTAGTATTACACCATCAGATTCTTAACATGCTATCATAAAAAGAAGCATAGCTGCCACCTCTACTGGATTTCTCATTAAACTACTGGATATTGCCATTTTCTCCAGGTCTACTGGTAGAGTAAAAACTCTCTTCGTTTTTATACATTTTAGAAAATTCCCTAAAATAGAGTAAGTTTTTGAAAAAAGAATCAAAATTGGAATAGAATTTTTCAAAAATTTATTGCTTGCTTGAAAATTTAAATAAGTATACTAATACATAATGAAATGAGCCTCACTTAGAGTTATCAGTTTAAAGCTTTCTTTGTTCTCAAAATTTCAATTTTTTTTTTCTTTTCAGAACTCCCTTTTTACCCACTTCACTTTCTTCAATAGTGATTTGCTTGTCTACTACTATTTAAAATTATTAGTTAACATAATAAAAAATTAAAAAAAAGAAACATTTCAAAATCATTTTATGCCAATCATAAATGGAAAATATTGCAGACCATTTGTAGTTATTAGTGTAATAAATCTTTTGTATTTTGATGACCATAAAAATCCCTAAAATTTCTTATAAGTAAACTATTTGATATATTATGCAACAGTTATCATTAAATTTATATTATTTCGTAAAATCCACTGGCTTTTTTAATAACCATGTTGACAGCTATGCAGAAGTAACTGGAAACTTTATTAGAGCAATACATCTTCAAAGCAACCAATTTTGCTTTCTTTCCAACTTAGTGAAATGATTTCTAAAAGGTCATAATAATTGGTTAAATTGCTTCTGCGATTTTTATGTTACATGTAAAAGAAATTGATTGAAATGATCAGCTAAATTGCTCTATTCTGTTTCTCAGTTACCTTCATGTTTCATGCAAAACTGTTACAATAGGCAAGTCTCAATGATTAACCTACATATATCTCCTGTTAAACCACGGCGTTGAGGGTAGTATTTTTATTGCATCACTTTGTTGTTGATATTATTAAAATTGTATGATCGAATGTTATCTTGTTAACGCTTACCAGCGGTATTATTCCCACCAAACGATTGGGCATACAGTTTCTACAGAAATGGTTTTTATTTTACAAATAGAAGGAACTATTCACATACTATTAGAATGGGCTGTTTTTTAAGAACATACTTTCCTTGATATACAATATAAACACCATGTGGTTTGTATTGTATGCATTTCAACTTGTCCAGTGTAAGTCTAAAATGAAAAAAGTTAGCTATGTAGCTAAAAGTTCCCCCGTTCCAGTTCATAAATTTCTGACTGAACAAATTCTGCTTCAGAGGAAAATACATAAGTAATTTTCTGTGCTGCAACTTAAGCCAACAAAACAGTTCTTCGGCCTGCAATACTCTGCAGAGGAGTCAATGGCTAATTTTGTGAGACCTACAAACATGTAACAGAAGACACTTCTTGTATAGTTCTAAGAACACACCACTTTTAGATAGGATTTTGACACACGCGATATGGCATTCTTAACAATGACTGATTGGATTTTATTGTTTGTTCTCGTGTTTATTGCTGTAAATAAGTAAATAATTTTGGGATGAAATTTAAATTTCTAAGTGTGGCCTTTAACACAAAGACGAGCTGCGCCTTAAGGAATCAGGAGGGAAGCAAATTTACATTAGCATGGGCACATAATCACTGCATATCTTAATGCAAATGTTTGAGAATTCGCCTTCTGTATTTCTTGAGTCGCGTTCAGTCCTTCAATTTGCAGCTCACTAATAAACTGCGACAAAGACTTGGCTTCTTCAAAAATAAAATTCATAGCTTCTTAAATGGTTTCTTCATTTCATAGCTTCTTAAATTCATAGCTTCTAACCTAAAGATTTGTGATTCAATTCAGCAAGTGTCGCATAAATATATGTCTTACATTTTTTTTAATATAAATGTTTTATGTTTAAAAAACTCATGCTTTTATTTATATCTTTTAATTTTGTTTAAACTTTCTGATTATTATATGCATTTATGTGAGTGTGTAAATTTTAAAAATATATCTCTTCATAAATTCTTTAATTATAAATACTAATTTAATTTATATATATTGTAAAAAAAATTCAATATTGATAAAAGTAAAATCTAAGATTTTTGGTTAGGAGTCTTGGACCGAAGCTTCTGATATAAAACGAATTTTAAAAAAATCGAATATTTAAAATTCGATTTCTCAGTATCTTTTTGTCCGATCTCTCATAAATTTTCTATTTTGCCATTTAACATTACATTCTTTAAAATGGTGTAAGAAATTGAGGATCTTATATAAGCCTAAAGTTTTTTAACTATCATTTAATTAAACAACATAATAATAATTATTGTTCATTTTTTGGCGTTGTTGCATGGAATAAAAAATTTTATAATTGTAAAAAATTTCTTATGAGTCCTCGCGACATAGCGAAATCCGCGAAAAGTAAAGTGAGTCTGACGTAAATATTTTTCTTATTAAGGCCTAATCTTTGCTCCGTTCTAGTTGTGTATTAATTAACATGTTTAAGATCACTCCATCGAACCTTTAACGCGTCATTAAATCTATTCATATTGTAATCGTATAATATGATTACTTCTTATCACGACTTCTATGTTATAATGATTACCTGTAGTAAAATATTTCGATTACTTGTAATTATTATTACATGTAATCGTACATATATGTATGATTACGTGTGTGTATGAATAACGTATGTATGTATGTAGTTGTTGTAGTTCATTTACGTCGCACTAGAGCTGCACAATGGGCTATTGGCGATGGTCTGGGAAACATCCCTGAGGATGATCTGAAGACATGCCATTACAATTTTGATCCTCTGCAGAGGTGATGGCACCCCCGCTTCGGTAGCCCAACGACCTGCACGCGAAGTCGAGCACTTTATGGTAGCACAGTTTAACGAGGACCAATACCGCACACCCTCGGTCCCTACTCAGACTGATCCGAGTGGTCAGCCACCCGCATGTATGTATGAATAGCGTGTGTGTTACCTGTAATCGTAATTACCAGCAATCGCGATCACAAGAAATTTTGAATAAACCTTACTAAATGCAGTTTACGCATTTACGAAAGTCGTCAAGGAAGAATAAGAACCAGATTACTAAAAAAAAATTATTCCAAGTTTCACAGCTTTGATCGAAAATAAGTGAACCGAATTCAATGAGAATAGCTCACCGTCAAAAATGCAAACGTTTTTCATTTCAGTAATTCTCACTAGATGGCAACCTCAGGTTTCTGTGAAGGATAGTCAAAACAAGAAGTTTAGGTTAAAACGTAAAAAGTATTTTTATCAATTTCTTGCCACAAGAAGTTTCAAATCAATCAAACTTAAAATAAAAGTCAAATCACAGATATTTATTGAGTAGGTTTGAATTTAATTTCAAATTTTTTTAAGAATTTTTCCGTTAGCCTTAAATATATGTTTGTATAATACGTTTGGTTGACCTTTATTTTCTTTTTTAATATTTTATTTAAGATTGCATTGTTGGGATGGAGCAAAAAGAGGAATCTGCTCCAGCAAATACTGATTGTACTAATTGTCGTATCATTGGCGGAACTTCTCTAATACTGAGCAGTTTGTATGTACTTTCTCGAGGAATTAGGTCAAAAAGTATTCATACTAAAATAAGTTCGGGACTCTTTGGATTAAGTAAGTTTGAATCTATATTTTTTGATTATAAACATATTTATTTCTGTTTTAACTTAAATTGAAATTTTTGCTTAGTTTATTAATTTTTGTTTTGTTCTATTAGATTTTTTGCAAAAATTAAAAAAAAAGTTAAAGAAATAAATAGTTAGTAGAACTGC